CTCTTAGAAATAAATGCTCCGGACACGTAAAAATCAATTTGTAGACAGAGGAGAACATTGAATGTCAATTAATAGAACTTTTGATGAAAAATAAATCCTCACTGAATCTAACAGTGAGAGTGAGGGAGACTGTCAGGGTGAACTTTCCAGTTTCACCGAAACCTTTAGATCGACGCTTTGAAAGGAACTGGGGGCTCAGGGAGTAGAGACCTCCCTGTACGTAGAATTAGTTCAGAGTCCAACAGGGAGGCCGTGATAGACGGGACCGAGCTAAACCAGCAGCACAGCGAGGTCATAAAGTCTTGCTTGGGGCTATGTTTCCGGCAACGATTGGGAGTGAACTAGTCGTGCCATAGGCTGGTCAGCAGCCGGGACTGTGCTGCTAACGTTGCTCTAACTGCAGAATATCTGACCCGGGTTACTGCCTGTTGCCCCAGCCCCGCAGGCGCGCCTCTCCACTGCCCGGGCCCGGCGTTCCAGCAGTGCCGCCCGGGGGATCGCGGCTGCCCCCCGGCAGGTGGGAGACGGCTCCGCCCCAGACACGCTGCACTTCGCACTTCGGTACTTAATCTCCTGACCCTCTGTTTGCTTAATCACTTAGTGTTCCGGCACAAATATTGTAACCAAAGGCAGAGATTGTGTGAGTTACTCATGGAAGAGGCGTATCACCCATCCATCCGATAAACTAAAACTCAGAAGAAAGTGGATGCGGGACTCCTCACAGGTGTGCGGTCGCCCCCAGTCTCTGGAAGAGCAGAAGCTGGCGAGCACTGGCCTTCCTGCAGGCCCCCCACCCCGTCGTCAAACTTTGGTGTAAAAATGATACCAAACACCGGAGCCGCCTGCAGGGACCGCGAGTCCGCAGGTGCTGCCAGAGCTCAGCTGTTCCCACAGCGCCACCTCGGAAGTGGCTCTCCAGGGCCGCTCCCGGCCGCGCACTTCCGATCGAGCGCCACACAGCGGTCACTGAGAGGCGTCATCTGAGCAGTCGGCCTAACGTGGATATGGGACGGGGGTAGGCGGGGAGTTGTGTTCCGTTGGGGTGTCTACTTTCCTGTGTTTTGGGGGGCATGTGAGTGGGGCTGAAGTGGAAGAAGCCGGGCGTGGGAAGCGTCGTCCCGGAGAGGTGGGAGGAGCCGGGCGGCAGTGCACGCCCTGGGGGTGCGCACACAGGTCTTTGCCGGCCGGAGGTGCCTTCCGGTTCGAAAGCAATGGACGAGACCGAGACCGGTAAAAACACAGTTGGCTCCCCTGTATATCAGCGAGAACGGGTGCATTTAAAATTTCTATTCGTGCACTCAGAGGAAAACTAAAGAAATGTCCCCTTTCTAGGACCTACCCTCTGTGCTGACCCAGTAAGGCAGACAAGGCTTAGCCCTTCTGAGCCACTCGAGGCCATGTGGCCAGTGAAAAAGGACCATGTTTGTCACCCTCACAGAGTCCCTTGAGTCTAGAAAAGAGGTTTCTTTTTTTTTTTTTTTTAAATGTTTTATTTATTTCCAGGAGAGAGAGAGAGAGACAGCGTGAGCAGGGGAGGGTCAGAGAGAGAGGGAGTCACAGACTCAGAAACAGGCTCCAGGCTCCGAGCTGGCAGTCAGCACAGAGCCCGACGTGGGGCTCGAACCCACGAACCGCGAGATCATGACCTAAGCGAAAGTCGGTCGCTTAACCGACTAAGCCACCCAGGCGCCCCTAGAAAAGAGGTTTCAAATAAAATGCTCTTGAAACGAGGCGTTCTGGAAAGTAGGATACTTTACTATCCGGCTGAGTGAAACTCTCCTGTAGAAAAGCTCCACTATGTGAACATCTGTCTCAATTTCAAATATGAAAAATTAATTCTTGCCATAGCTACCAGTTCTTCGCTGTCCCTCCGTAAGCCGGTAGCGAACCAAGCATTGGAATAAATGTTCGGTCAGCATGACGGCCATCGGTGTGAACAAAATCCCATCTCATTAACATTTAAGTCGGTACCTGAAAACGCCAAGCACGTAGCCAGCACTCAGATGCTCAGCCAGTGGAATTTGGTCTTTTATCTTTCCTTCATTTAATTATAATTGGCCATTTTCTTTTTTTTTTTTTTTAATTACTGTTTGAGAGAGAACGTGCACATGCTGGAGAGAGCGACAGACGGAGAGAGAAAGAGCGCACGAGGGCACCTTAAGCAGTTCCAGGCTTGGCTCCATGCTTGGCTCGGAGCCTGACACGGGGCTCAATCCCACGACCCTGGGAGCATGACCTGAGCTGAAATCAAGTCAGACGCTCAACGGACTGAGCCACCCAGGCGCCCCTAACGGGCCATTTTCTAACTGCTCCTTTCTCCCCTTGTTGGACCACCTGTCACACTCGAAACTATCCAGGCAGTACCCATGGAACAAGCTAGAATTGGTTTGTTACGTCACAAAAGAAAGAATGCGCTCAGTGGACTTCACTGTCTGGAGTGCTCACGGCGAGGGTCATGGGTTGGGCGGAGTGTTTCCACGGCGGTTCTATTTCCTGGCCTTTCAGCGGCTTTGTGTTCGTCTTTCTCCCCATCTTCTGCATGTGTGCCACACGCACTTTGTTCTCTCCGTTCTGACAAAGGCTGCGCACTTAAAATTGAGTGAAGACTACGTATTCTAGTGGCATTTCCCTGTTACTGTTCTTCAGTCCCGATACTGTATTTGTTCATTTGAAGAAGGGAGATGATAATTCCCAAACCCCACAGTACAGAAACATTTTTGTCAAAAGCAGTAGCATTTGAAGGACCATTTTGGAAAATTTAGCATCAGTGTTTCAAACGCAAGGTGGAAATTGAGTCTGCCTCATTAAGCCCATCTTTAAAAGAACCTCTATGAAATTGTTAACAAAAAGTGTTCCAGAATTCACTCCAGCAGTAAGCACCGAACGGTGGAGACCATGTTAGTAGTATGTACTTCAAATTCTTTTCTGTCTCCTGAGAGTGTTTGCATTGTATCAGTTTGCTAGCGTGCCGCAAGGTCGTAGCATCTTTCTCCAGGGGCCCCCGAGCGTCCGCGGTGCACACGTTCTGTACGCAGTAGTGCGGCAGCGTAGGTCAGGTACCTCCTTGCCAGGGACCAGCTTGAGATGGAGATGCTGTTGGGGAGACCTTTTTTGCGAACTAGTCCCCTGTCTCACTAGCTGGCATCACTGAAATAAAGTCCTTTCTTATTTGACCACTAAAAGAAAAAAAAGGAAAGAAGGAAATGAAATACCGTTCTCTTGATGTGAGGGTAAACACTCATTCTTCCATTTGTAAGATTTTGAAACTTTGCCTGCATATAGACATGCTCTGTAGACCTTTCCGCTGCTTCAAGAGGAACTGAAAACTCTTCAATTACGTACTTAAGTAATTTGTCATAGTGCCTTTCAAAGAGATGGAAGTATAAGGATGACAAGTATTAAATGAGTTTGTTATTTAATTACCTGCAATAAATCAGTATTTTTACAGCTGATTGCCCTTTAGCAACACCTAAATTATTTTATCTTCCTAAAACATCCACAATTTTTGTCAGCTATGTTAATTTTCCTGATTTAATTTTGTCCCTTCAATTTATAAAACTACTTCTCCCAATATACATTATTGTTTTGGTGTAATTATGGGGAATAGTGTGGTTACCAGTTGCTGACAAGAACTGATTAGGGCTAACTTCCCTGTTATTGGCAATAATTTACATAATATATTGCTCAGCAAGGAGCTTGTAATTTAAAATGATTCCTAGGTTGCATGGCCTTTCGTCATTAATCAGTATTACAGCATCTTATTAGAGTAAAGCGCATCAAGGGGGCTGATTCCATACTGTTTTTAGTCAGAAAATACATTTCATAATTGATAATATCCATATGGCAACCAAATAATCTAAAATTTACAGGTAGCAATTTGTACTGTATGCTTTCTATTCTTTAGTTAGTATTTAAAATGGTCACGTTTTCCATCTCTGAAAAACTGTGTCCATTTGAAAATTAACGGCTGATGTGAGCTGTCAAGGTGGTGACCAGGAGTTTCGAGCAAGCTGCTAGGCAGAGGCAGAATGAAGTATGGGTTGATTTGGAAAAATAAAGTTTATGTCTGTAACATGAACTGTTTTTCTGGGTGGCTCCGTCAGTTAAGCACCCAACTGTCAATTTTGGCTCAGGTCATGATCTCCCGATTCGTGAGATCGAGCCCTGTGTCTGGCTCTGTGTTGACAGCGAGGAGGCCGCTCGAGATTCTCTCTCTCCATCTCTCTGCTTCCCCCCTCCCCCTACGCGCGCGCTCACACACAACACGTACGCACACTCTCTCTAAATCAATAAACTTTAAAAAATAAAATGTTTATCTCACTGAAGTGTGAAGAGAGTGGTGAGATCCTTCTGGCCCTGTGACCCTTCTGTGCCTGTAGAGAGCAGTGCCTCGGCCTTTGGGAATCCGTAGGGACCCGCAGGGTGAAGGATAAAGGAGGAACTCCCCGCACCCCTGCAGCCAGCGTGCCCGCCCCCCGGGAGTGCCCAGACTTTCTCTGATTACGTTCTCTGCACGGGTTTCAGCTGCCGCCCTCTCATTCCTCGGCCCACAACCGTGTCTCCGATGGTTGGTCCAAAGACAAGCAAGTTACATATTTGCAACTCCGAAGTTTGTCTTATAAGAGAATAATGTAACATAAAATTTGTTTTCGGTTGTTACGTATAATACTGGACATGAAAAAGCTATTTCTTAAACATTAGCTTTTTAACTCTTGTTTTGAACCCTGTTGCACTGCGGATGCTGAGGTCAGTGGCCTCCAATGTTTAAGGGACTCTTGATTGTGAGTGGATGGGGGCGGGAGTGCATTTAAAAAGGGGGACTGCGATTTTAAAAAGCAAAACAAACCTAATTAGATGAGATACTGCCTCCTCTCCACTCTTCCCTGACAGCCATCCTAAAGATAGAGCAACTCGAAATTATTTTGAGCTTGAAACTGCCTCTTCTATTTCTTCTCTGTTTCACTTTTATTATGTTCTCCCTTGGGCGGTGCCCTTTTCAGTCTCCTCGGGCTGGGGAGAGATGCCTAACGTCCATCCGAAGGCCGAGAGCTCTTGGGGAGAGCCATCCTCCCCCTCTGCCCTGGTCGACAACGGCACCGCGGCGTGGGGCAAGCCGCCCAGCAGCGGCAGCGGATGGGGGGACCAGCCCGCAGAGCCGCCCGTGACCTTCGGGAGAGCCGGCGCCCCCACTGCCGCCCCGGCCCTGTGCAAACCAGGTGAGCACGACCCGGCACTTTAGAAATGGCTCAGGGTATTTGATTTAGAGGAATACTACTTTGCAGCAGATTTTAAGAATTAATGTTTTAGGATACCTTTCTCATTTTATTTATACTTTAAAACTAAAGTATACACAGACACAGAGGAGCTCTTAACAGAAGCCCATGCGCTCCTTTCTTTACAAAATTAACTACCAGGATCCATACCATATGCACATCTGCCGGATGCCATCAGTGGTGTCTACACGGCAGCAGTAACCCCCGCGCCTCCTGTCCTCAGCAGTTCACACGCGCTGGCTCACGGGCCACACAGATGAGGAAGGTGCACCGTGTCTCCTTTCTGAGAGCAGGTTGGAGGCCGATACGACTTCGCAGCAGTCAGGCCCTTCCGCCGCCTTCTGTCGTGTGAGCACCGTTCTGCTCTGGGGCTCCAGGCGCACGCTTTCTTCTTTTTTTGTTTGTTTGTTTTTGAAGAAAAGAAAAATTATTCTGCACTTCCCTCACATTATCTGAAAGCGTAATAAGCACCCACGTACCACGTACGTTCTCACACTCGTCCAGATCACGTGTACAGAGTGCGATTCTGACGCGTGGGGGTTCTGCAGCGCGTTGCGTGTGACATTAGCGTGAAACTAAGCGTGTGATCGAGGTCCCGTATTAAGATCCGTCGTTCATGTGGCTGCAAGAGCTTCATATTTTCTTTGGCCAAAACCTGTTAGATCTTAAAATGCAACTTTATTTTTATATTTTTACTGTCATATTTTACATTCATTTTGTGTTTGTTAACTTAGCTAACACTGGATAGCGTACTCTCTGTATCCACCATTCTGCTGGCTTACTTATTCCGTTCCTATAACTTCTCAGTGCAAACCTAAAAGATAGGGCAGTCCTCAGATTCACCCGCCAGCCTGAGCCAGTGTATTTGTTTCTATAATTTGTCCCGGAGGCACCGGTATATACGCATCTGCCTTGTAGAAGCAGCATATCCTCGTGGTCTTACAGACCCCCACTAACTGTACTGTCACTTTGGCCTTCTCCCAGGAAGTGAAAATTCGGGGTAACTTTTGTACCAGAAATCACTTTGTATCTTAAAAAGGTAGAAAAAATAACATCCTGAAATCCGAACTCAGTAGTCAGCTTGTGGCTCCTTCCGCCTACGGCCTCAACCATCTCCATCTGGTGATTCTGGGAGTATCTCCCGGCAGCTTGTCAGACACAGACTGTCGGGCCCACCCCCAGACCTGTGCGCTCCCCGTGGTCCCCAGGTGACTCGGGCCTGCTCACGTGGGAAGGGCACAGGCCCCCAGCCCGCTGCAGGTTCAGAAAGTGAGTGGCGGATGGGGATGTTTTCCGGGACTCTGCATTTACCAGCCATCTCATGCCGTGCAGACATTGCCACCGTCTCCTGGGGCCCCCAGGATTCACTGTTCGAAAGCCCATGCATCAGAATGACCTGTAGCCAGTTACGCAGGCGGTAACAGCACAGACCACACACAACTGCAGTGGGAAGGAAAAAGTGTGCGCACGTTTGCGTATGTATTCTGTAGCTCACACAGGAAACTCAGCTCTTCGGTCTCAGGGAGATGAAGTAGTGAAGAGGTAGCTCCCAGTGCACCCCTTGCGTCCCACCTCCCCCTAAATGTCGCTGTAATGCAGCCCTGTCTCCCTTAGGGAGGGTGAGTTTGTGAACTTGATGTCTGCTCTCCTTCTAGCTTCGAAATCTATGCAAGAAGGCTGGGGCAGCGGCGGGGACGACGTCAGCCTCAGCGCCAGTCAGTGGGAAGACGAGGAAGGGGGCGTGTGGAACGCCGCTTCCCAGGAAAGCACCTCCTCCTGCAGCTCCTGGGGGAGCGCCCCCAAAAAAGGACTCCCAAAGGTGAGTGCGGCGCCAAAGAAAAGAAACTCTCTAAATCACCAGTACTTAAACATACATTCAGGGTGGAGGTGGTATCCAGTTACTGGGGACGGGTAGACGGGGAGGTCTCTGAGCGCCCTGGGGATCCAGACACAGCCCAGCATGGCTGTCACAGCAGCGCAGAGGCAGAGACAGTCGTGAGAATCCAGCTGCTTCCAAGAAGCCAGACGGTAGAGAGGTTTGCAAGCGTGTACAGCGGCGCTGCTCTCCCCCCACTAAAGGATTTTGGTTTTTAGAAAATACAGTTTTCCACTGAAACAGTGTTATTGATGTTAACTTATAATGGGCTTGTTACTGTACTTTTTAAACAAATTATTTAGTGTATTTTTTAAATTCCTTATACAATAAGTATGAATACAACCCCTACCAACAGAATTTCTTTGGAATCCTCAATCTTGGGGCATCTGACTTTGGCTCAGGTCATGATCTCACTGTCTGTGGGTTCAATCCCACATAGCACTCTGTGCTGACAGCTCGGACCCTCAAACCTGCTTTGGAGTCTGTGTCTCCCTCTCTCTCTGCCCTGCCACTCTTGCTCTCTGTCTGTCTCTCTCAAAAGTAAAAAAGAAACATTAAAAAAATAAAAAAAGAATCCTCAGTCTTTAAGACAGGGTAATGGGATTGGTCCTGAGACCATTAAGTGTGAGAACTCCTAAGGTAGGTCAGTAAGTGGTTTTGCAATAAACTGGCAGCCATTTGGAAAACATCGAAGTGAGATCCACAACTCCTGTACGCACCGAGCTAGATTCCAAGTAGATTACAAATGTAAATATGAGAAATACAAATGTAGAAATGTGAAAGAATTCTAAAAACTATCTTAGAGCAGGAGTGGCCTTTCTAACTATGACCAAACTCTCAAAGTCATCAAATGAAAGACCTATAAACTTCAGTAAAACCACGCATGACAGAGGCACCTGGGTGGCTCAGTAGGTTAAGCATCTGACTTCAGCTCAGGTCATGATCTCTTGGTCCATGGGTTTGAGCCCCGCGTCGGGCTCTGTGCTGATGGCTCAGAGCCTGGAGCCTCCTTCCGATTCTGTGTCTCCTTCTCCCGCTGCCCCTCCCCCACTCGTTCTCATTTTCTCTCTGTCTCTCTCTCCGTCTCAGAGATAACTAAACATTTTTTAAAAAGTGCATGATAGAAAATACCATAAAATCAAAAGACAACAAGCTGGAACAAGTATTTGGATCACACCACGCAGAGGGCTGATCTCCCTGATGCACATACAAAGAAAGGTCCCACAGACTGACTTTTTTTTTTTTTTTTATCAATGAGTAACCCACTGGGAAAATGAGCAAAGAATATAAATAGATGATCCCTAGAAAATAAATACTAATGGCTCTTAAACTCCTGAAGGGACATTCAGCCTGACCTACGGCAAGAGTTAAAATGACACTAAGAGATGCCGTTTCTCACCTCTCAGACCAGCAGAGTCCCCGGCGTTGAGTGAGCAGGTTGGGGCGCCTGGCTGGCTCAGGTCATGGGAAAAGCAGCCCTCTCCCCCGTTGCAGGCAGGAATCTAAGCCAGCGGGACCCGCGGGGATGGCGGTCTGCATCGTCTGTCACAGTTTCAGAGGCGCCAGCTCGGGATATGGCGCTTCCACTCGTCACGGGTGCCGCAGGAGGCGCTGCCCGCCGTTCCCTACTGTGGCATTTCTGTAGGGACAGAGTGTGGGTTCATGTACGGTGACGGGGTAACTAAGTGACCCCACATCCATGCTGGGGAAAGCCGGACAGATTTTTATAAAGAAGTCCTGTCTGTATTCGTGTGGAAAGATCACCAGAATATGCTGGCAAATGAAACGGCAAAGGCCAGAACAGGGTGCGTGACACACACGCCGTGGGGCGGGGAGGGGTGTGCGCGCCCGCGTGCTGGAGACGGGTTTCCTCTGAGAGCAGGAAGGAAGACGGCACCGCTGTGTGCGGACCCTTTCATCTCCGTCCGAATCCCGTGAAGGTGGTATCTGTTCGAAAAAATTAATTTAACAAAGCATTTAATTAGCAGTAAGCAGAACCCAGAAACCGAAATCCGGGCTCACTTCATTAGAAGTAGAAGTGATTGCAGACGTCAGAGAGGAGGCTTTCTACAGCTGGGCTGGCAGATAATCCAGTTAATGACGGGACCAGAAATACCCAAGTGGTAAATCAAAGTCCTGTGGGATCTTAGCACCTCTGGCCCTGCCAGCGGCTCCCGGCGGCTCCAAATACGCGCGCCGCCTCAAGAAAGAGCGCCTGTCCGCTGGTGTGCAGCTGCCACCGGCCCTGCCCTGTCGGGAGGGACCCCCGCCCTGTAGGGAGGGACCCCACTCTGTAGGGAGGGACCCCCGCCCTGTAGGTAGGGACCCCACTCTGTAGGGAGGGACCCCCGCCCTGTAGGGAGGGACCCCCCCGTAGGTAGGGACCCCCGCCCTGTAGGTAGGGACCACCCCCTGTAGGTAGGGACCCCCCCCATAGGTAGGGACCCCCGCCCCGTAGGTAGGGACCACCCCCTGTAGGTAGCCTCGGCTCCGGTTCCACAGGCCCTGGGAAGAGTGATCTTAGAGGAGGTTGCTTTTCTCCCGTGTGAGTGCAGGGTTCGAAGCTGTGCTGTTGCTGGAAGAGAAGGGAAACCGCTGAGGAAATTTAACATCCTCGACCGGCCTGTGTGGGCGGCCCTGTGCTCCCCTCCTCCGCTCCTCCCCTCCCCTCCTCTCCCCCCCTCCACTGCCCCATGCTCCCCTCTTTCCCTCCCCTCCTCCGCTCCCCGCTTCCACTTCCTTCTTCCTCCTCTCCCCTCCTCCCCTCCTCCACTGCTCTGTGCTCCCCTCCTCCACTGCTCTGTGCTCCCCTCCTCCCCTCCCCTCCTCCCCTCCCCTCTGCTGCCTGTGCTCCCCTCCTCCGCTCCCCTCCTGCTGCCCTGGCTTGCTTTCTGTGATCACCTCTGCTTTTCTCTTATCTTCTCCCTCACAGCTTTGCCCATTTACATCTCCTCCACCCAAGGGCTGCAAGCAGTGAACAGTCAATAAAATTAACAGGCTTTTTGTTCCTTTCATCTTGTTGCCTTTTCATTCCATTGGAATGAACCCCCTGCATTTTGCCATCTTTGACAGTAAAGCTTATAAAAGGGCAGAAAACATGTGATTTTTAGTAAACTTCACATAGTATTAACATAGGGCAACATTCAAAGGAACACTTAGGCTCATTTGGTAATGGAAGTGGCACACATTTGTGATGAACTAAATTAATTCTCTGGGGAAGAAAAATAATTATCTTGCTTTTTTAAAGCCCATAAGTCACACGCATGCCCACTTGCGAACGCGCCAAGCAGCGTTCCGTAGCACTGGCCACGAAGCAGAGTCTGGGGCTCTGGAGCGCCGCCCATCGGCGTAGCACGGACAGCTTCTCTGGCTTTAAGTCTCTGTGAACTCTAGGGCCCCCGTGTGTAGCAGAAACGCATTAACCCGTGACCCCACTTTGTTCCAGGGCATGAAAACGCCTGGCAAGCAGGACGAGGCCTGGATCATGAACCGGCTGATCAAACAACTCACAGACATGGGCTTCCCGGTGACTGGAGTCTTATTTTACTGCTTCCCTCCGCGTGTGCTGCCATGCATGGCCCCCATCGTGTCCTGCCCGCGTTTGTCACACGTAACAAGGAAGACTTTGGAGGGAGGAGAGTGTTCATGCGGCCTAACTCGTAAATCCCCCTTTTACATGAGTGCTTCTGTTTAGGGACCATTGCTTCGAGGCCCAGCAGGCGTCCACACCATTCCTACCAAGTGAGGTGTGCAAGCCTCCTGGAGTAAAAGGAGCCGCGCAACTTGGCTTCTACAGTCTTGTATTTTCCTTTAAATTACAGTTAAAAGTGAATCTTCATTAGTTTATGCAGTGATTGACAGAGATCACGAGAGAAGACTTGGTATAAAGGACTAGAGCTCTGGGTCCAGAAGAGTCCAAACCCGTGGAGTGCCTGCGCCTTGGGTCACACGCAGGGAGAGTTCAGGCTGCAGGGCCCCCGGACGCGTGCCGTGATGCGCTCCGTTGCGGAGGTTGCACGCAGGCGTTCAGATAGTGAGGACTGTCCCGTGCCTGCCATGTCTTCCCTTCAAGCGTCTTCTTTCCAGATGGTTACTCAAGTGAACGTTTGTCTTTGATTTCTCTGGGTGGCCCTAAAGAACGCGGCCAGAGCCGCCTAGTCTAGAAGCGACATGCCTCACATCAGGCACAGGCGCTGTGTCACCGGGCAGGGCGCAGACCCGGGGGTGCCTCAGCCCCTTCCCACGTGACAGTGCAGGCGGGACACTGGAGGCCCCGTTGCCATCGTGGCAGTCGCGCAGTGACACACATCTGTCCCACTCGTAGGGACAGTTACCAGCATGAATCTGCTTGTTTGGGTGGTTTTCACACTTCTTGGTGAAAAGTCGTTGATGGCAGAGCCCAGAGTCCGCAAGGTAGAGAGTGGAGCCCTGAGCGCTGAGCTCCCGCTGTGAATTTCCCAAAGTCGTTCTGCCACCTTTCACCTTTGCAGAACTGTTGCTACTCATTGTCGTACAGAGTCTATGACAAGAGTCCACGAACTGCATACATTTTGTTTTTAAAGTGTCAGATACAAGTGCTTTAGACGTCAGTTCGATACGTGTTCTTGAATTCTAAGTGCCTTTTACTTAGAAGACGTTTGTCTCTAGCCTCAACGATGAAGAGAAGTATTTCTGGTTCCAAAAGCTAGTAAAATTATGTCAACAATAATCATTTCTCTAGGCTAATAGCAGTAGAATTCTTTACTAGCTTTTCCATTACTGTGAAAGCATAATCCTAATTAAAACTCTGTTTCCCACACAGAGAGAGCCAGCTGAAGAGGCCTTGAAGAGCAACAATATGAATCTTGACCAGGCCATGAGTAAGTCATCTGATGCTCGTAGGGTGCCCCGTTTCCAAAGGTTCCAGTTTGTGGAGTCTGGGTTTCCAGAAGCATTTTAGTGTAGTCTCGGGTTGACGATTGACTAGGTGCTGGGTGGACAGGACCAAGCTTCCGCTAGAGAGCAGCCACGCAAGTGCAGGAAGCCCACAGCACGTCTCCGGGGACGAATGGCCAAACCCCACACCGGGGCATGTTTGCTTCCTTCACTTTTCTCTAGTACTTCAACAAAGAGATGAGGTTTTCCCATCTATTTTGAGGGGAGGTCATCGTGACATTCTTAGAGAAAGGCACCAGGACCACAGGCCAGATGTCATTCGACACTGGCTGAGCGCATTCTTCACAGTGGGCCCCAGGACGGGCCTGCTCTCCGAGCCGGTGGAGTACTTTCTGGTGAGAGAGGAGATTCGCCTCTGGGAACAGGCAGCCCTCATGGTGGAGCTGCTTAAAAACAGATAAGTAGAATAAGAACACTATGGCTGGGTTTTAGAATAGTTTATTAAACTCTTTTCTTTAATGTTTATTTTTTTTTGTTTTGAGAGAGAGAGAGAGAGAGAGAGGGTGCGCGGGCACGCACAAGATGGGGAGGGGCGAAGAAAGGGAGGAGAGAACCAAAGCGGGCTTCGCGCTGTCGGCACAGAGCCCGGTGCAGGGCTCGATCTCACAAACCATGAGATCATGACCTGAGCTGAAATCAAGAGTTGGACACTCAACCAACTGAGCCCCCCAGGCTCCCCTAGAGTGGTCTATTAAACTGTTAACCAAAGCACAAAGGGCACAGAAAAAGAGGATTAAACATAACTATACCTATTACAACTTGGTAACAAAGTCACAGCACAAAAAGAGATAATCTGTGACATCAAAAATATAAGGGGGACGGGGCGCCTGGGTGGCTCAGTCAGTTAAGCATCCAACTTCAGCTCAGGTCATGATCTCGTGGTTCGTGGGTTCAAGCCCCACGTCGGGCTCTGTGCTGACAGAGAGCCTGCTTCAGATTCTGTGTCTCCCCTTCTGTCTGCCACACTCTCATGTGCTTGCTCTCTCACTTTCTCTCTCAAAAATAAGTAAACGTTAAAAAATGTTTTTAATTACAAAAATTAAAAATAAATAAGGCCACAAAACCCAATTCCGTGCTGCCCACAGGAGACTCTTGCAGCTCTAAGAGACATGCAGGCTCACATTGAAAGGATGGAAAATGATATTCCAAGCAAACAGAAACAGGAAGAAGGCGAGCACAGCTAGGCTCAGTATCAGACATAATAGACTGGAAGCCAAAAAGGGTGACTGGAGTTCAAGAAGGTCATTATATGCTGACAGAGGGGTTAATACATCAAGAAGATGTAAGTAAGGTTGTAAATATATCCATTCCCAACACCTGACCATCAAAATACATTAAGTAATTAATCACAGATCATCAACAGATCGTAATTATAGAGGACTTCAGATACCCCACTGTTAACCATGGATAGATCATCCAGACTGGAAATCAACAAGGAGAAATGGAATTGAACCACGCTTCAGAGCAAATGGACCTAAAAGACATACACAGAACATTCCATCCAGCAGCAGCAGAACATACGTGTTTTTCAGGCACACATGGAACATGCCCCAGGGTAGGTCCTGATGGGCCACAAAACCATCTTCAGGGTTGTTTGGGGTTTTTTCTCTTTTTTTCCATTTTTTAAAATCTTTTTGAGAGAGAGCACGAGCAGGAGAGGGGTTGGCAGGGGGAGAGACAGAGAGAGAGAGAGAAAGTCTCAAGCAGGACCCATGCTCAGTGTGGAGCCCAATGTGGGGCTCAGTCTCACAAACATGAGATCATGACCTGAGCCGAAATCAAGAGACGCTTAACCAACTGAGCCACCCAGAAGCCCCCAAAACTATTCTTACTTTTAAGAAGTTTGAAGTTATGCCAACCATCTTCCTCAACATGAGGAAAGTGAAAAGATCCATAAATATATGGAAACTAAATATGCTTCTAAATAGCCATTGGGTCAAAGAAGAAATTTAAAGGTAAGTAAAAAATTATCCAAAAACAAATGAAAATGATAACATATCAAATACGGTGGGAAGCAGCAAAAGCATTTGTGAAAGGAAAGCTTATTAGAGCAGTAAACACAGATATTAAGAAATTTAAAAAGAACTCAAATAACCTAATTTCACACCTCAAAACTAGAAAGAGAAGAACATGTTAAGCCCAAAGTTAGCAGAAGGAAGGAAATAATAAGGATCAGAACAGAAATAATAAAATAGAGACTAGAAAACAGTAAAAAGGATTTATGAAACTAACATCTAATTCTTCAAAAAGATAAACAAAGTAGACAAACCTTTAGCTAGACATAAGAAAAAAAGAAAGAAGACTCAAAGAAATGAAAGAGAAGATGCTACAACTGATAACCACTGAAATACATGGAATCCTAAGAGGTACCATGAACAATTCTATGCCAACAAGTTAAATGACTTAGAAGAAATGAATACATTTCTAGAAACAACTTACCAAGACTGAATCAGGAAGAAATAGAAAATCTGAATAGACCAGTAATGAGTTATGAGATTGAGTCAGTTATCAAAACACAGTAAACTTCAGGACCAGATGACTTCACTGACAGAAATTCTACCAAATATTGAAGAAGAATTAACATCAGTTCGCAGACTCTTCCAAACATCAAGGAAAAGGGAATACTCCCAGATTTGTTCTATGAGGCCAGCAATACTTTGATACCAAAACCTAATAAGGATATCACAAGAAAACCACAGACCAATACCCCGATGAATGAACATGCAAAAATTCTCAACAAAATGTTAGCCAACTGAGTTCAACAACACAGGAATAGGACTATATTCCATGACCAAGTGGCATTAATACCTAGGATGCAAGGCTGGTTCAGCCTACATCATTTATTGTGGTAGATCAATAAATGTGATCTATCACATCAATAAAACAAAAGATAAAATTCATGTGATCATCTCAATAGATGCAGAAGAAATATTTGACAAAATACAGCATCCTTTCATGATCTGGGGGAAAAAATAAAAACCTTAAGCAGACTGGATATAGAAGGAACACACCTCAAGATAATAAAGGCTGTACACAACAGACCCACAGCTAACATTTTACTCAGTAGAGGGAAATTGAAAGTGTTCCTCTAAGATCAGGAACAGGGCAAGGATGCTGACTCTTGCCACTTCTATTCAATAAAGTACTAAAAGTCCTGGCCAAGGCAGTTAGGCAAGACAAAGGAAAAAACAAAAAAGGCATCCGTATTGAAAAGGAAGAAATCAAGTTGTCATTATTTGTTGATAATACGATCCTATATAAAGAAAATTCCAAAGAATCAGTCAAAAAACTTGGAAAGAGTCAACAATCTCAGTAAAGTAGAATACAGAATCAGCATACAGAAATCAATCGCCTGCCTTTGCACTAATGATGAAGCACCTGGAAAAGAAATAAAACCATCCTATTCACAATAGCGTCAAAGGTAATAAAATACTTAGGAATAAATTCAACAAGGGAGTGGAAGCTCTGCACAATAAAAACTGTAGGACTTCGCCAAAAGAAATTGAAAAGGACACAAACAAGTGGAAAGGCATCCCACGTTCATGTATCAAAAAAATTAATGTTGTTAAAATGGTTATATTACCCAAAGCAACCCCCATCAAAAAGCCAGAGGCATTCCCAGAAATAGAAGAAACAGTCCTGGGGCACCTGGGTGGCTCAGTCAGTTAAGCACCCTGACTCTTGATTTCGGCTCAGGTCATGGTCTCTTAGTTTGTGAGATCGAGCCCCACGTCAGGTTCTGCACTTACAACAGGGAGCCTGCTTGAGATTCTCTCTCACCCTCTCTATTTGCCCCTTCCCCCCCCAAAAAAATAAATATTAAAAAAAGAAGAAGAAACAATCTTAAAATGTGTGTGGAATCACAAAATCCCCTAAGTAGCCAAAGCAGGCGTGAGGAAGAACAAAATTGGAGGTATCACACTTCTGAATGTCCAACTGTACTGCAAAGCCACAGTAATCAAAACAGTGGTACTGGCACAAAAACAGACAATCTGGGGCACCTGGCTGGCTCATTTGGTAGAACATGTGACTCAGTCTGAGTCTTGGGTTCAGGACCCACAATGGACCTAAGAGCTTACTATAAAAAAAAAAAAAAAAAAATTAGACACATCAACCAGTGGAACAGAATAGAGCCCACAATTACACCCCGGCATATACAGTCAACTAATACTTGACAAACGTTTTAAACACCGAAACCACCAACAAAAAGCCCAAAACTGAAAAACGTGGCACTAAATAGACCACAAAGGGACACTTATTACTATAGGGGAGGCTGAATAAGAAGCAGAGCATCGTATTTGGCCTGAGCTAAGAATGTGTGTGTCAGGTGGCCGAGATTTTTCACCACCCTTTGCAGGTCCACAGATGACCACAAAAGTGCCACGAATGCTGATTTGGGGGCTGCAGATAAATTTAGCCAGTTGGTGAATTCACAAGCGCAGAATCCGTGAATGATGAAGATCAACTTGATAATTACATGCAGGTGCCAAAATGTCCTGGCACAAGCTGCCAGGCCAGAAATGAGCATAAGCGTGAGCCGGAAGAAATTCATTGTTCCTCATTAGAATTGTAAAATGGCACAGAGTCAAAGGTAGCCACACAAAACCAGTCACTCGCCCGAGAGCCCGTGAAGACGAAAACCTTGTCCTGCGTAATATTGGTCCCCAGGGTCTGGAAGAACCCTGGCACCTCACAGGGATGCAGGAAATGGAAACCGCTGGCTGCCAGAGGTCAGCGGAGATTTCAAACAGGATAATCGGGGCAGGGCCCTCCGAGGATACGACCAGGGAAGGCCGTGTGGAGAAGGGGTGCATCCCAGGGCGGGACGAGGGCCGGGCTCAGAGTGGCCCGTGCAGCGAGAGGAGGGGCAGGAGCAGGGCAGAGAGCAGGGCCCAGTCACAGACTGTCGGGGCTCCCGGGAGCAAAACCACAGCTTCCCTGTTTCCGCAGGATGGGGGGTTGAGAGGCCCCGGCTCCGCGCTCCCCGCTGACACCCCTCAGCGTTCGGGTAACTGTTGCTTCTGTGCGTTGTGCCCCAGGCGCCCTGCTGGAAAAGAAGGTGGACGTGGACAAGCGTGGACTGGGAGTGACCGACTACAATGGACTGGTCACCAAAGCCCTTGGCTGCCGCCCACCAGTCTCCAAAGACTCTTCCGGGGACCGCCCCGCCTTTCTCGACAAGGTGTGATGTAGGGGGTGTCTTTGTCTGTTTGTTTTTAACAAGAGGGCTTTTTCATCTTAACTCTGTCCTTAATGCAGCCTGGATTAAATGCTTGCCGGGCTGGAACACTTAAGTGACTTTTACCCACTTTTAAAAACATATACGAATGTTTCGTTGGAGAGAGATAGTGTCATATTTCATACGATGTGACTAAGAGTAAAAAAGACTGAAATTGAAAACTGATTTTCGTCATAGTGGGTGAACCAGGCTGGCTTATCTGCTTCAATTTGACCAGTAACAGGGGTCATCAAATTTCTGTTTTACTGTCTGATTTTATACGCACAGTTCTTCCCGTTGGAAATGATGTTACACGTTTAATCGCAGAAAGAGACTAGAAGTGGTTGGGTGCGGGCACCCGTGCCTGGCCAGCTCAGCTCGGCCACCTCCGCGTGCAGGTGTCTGGCAGAGGCCCCTGGGGCAGGTCATGTGTCCAGACACCTGCTCAGTCCCTTCAGGACTGCCCTGTAGTGACGCCCCTCCCCCAGACCAGTGTGGCTTCATGCGGGGAGGTGAGAGCAGAGTCCATGAAATTCCATCCGAATGCTGAACCTTGAAAATAAAATTAAAGCAAGAAAGGACACGTTTGAAAAAACAAAACAAAAGCAAACAGGCTCACAGGAGAGAGAGGGAGAGAGATGAAACTTCAGCTCTGTTCTTAAACAGGGCCCCCCACCACACGCTCCCCTGCAGAAAGCTGTGGCCAGGCTGGGCCCAGAGGTGCTATGTGAAATTCCAGCCTCATTTAGTATCTCGTATTTATACTTGGCTCAGGATGGGACGCTGACTCATGTCCTTACCTGTAAGACTAGAATACTACTGCGCCTTTGTTGGGAAGTTAGAGGAGACAGATGTGCAAAGGGCCTGATACACATAGCAGAGTAAGACTCTGCTTTATAACTTACCCTAATATTGGATTAAACTATATGAAATTGCTGTTTGTTGGTCAAAAACGGCTGAATGTCAGCAGAGTCCAACCTAATGTACACCTAGAGCCTTGTAATGACCTCTCGAAAGGAACCTGTTTGCTCGGAAATGATTGTCACTGACTTCTAAGTGAGGCTTCCGCTAATGTCACCGCCAGCCTGCGGATTCCTGCCCCTGGGTGGGGTGGGGGCCAAATAATCTTTCCCAGTGAAAGCAGCATCTAAATCCTGTTTCTCTTTTTCTTTTCCCCTCTTCCTTTGTTCCATGTTCTCCATTCTCTCGTTATCCACACTTTTTCCATCTTTTTAATTCCCTTTATCCGCCCATATCCCTTGACATCCTTGGGAAACTGCTTTGTGCTTGGTCTGTGGACAGACACTACACGCCGCTCACCCTTTCTTTCTCCACCCAGGACGGCGGCCTAGTGGAAGAGCCCACGACTTCACCATTTTTGCCTTCACCAAGCCTGAAGCTCCCCCTTCCAAACAGTGCACTCCCTAATCAGGCCCTGGGTGGGATCGCCTCGGGGCTGGGCATGCAAAACTTGAATTCTTCTAGACAGGTAAGGCTGGGGGAGAGCCAGTGCGGCCTCCGTTTCACCTGCCTGTAAAAAATGCGTTTGAGCCACAGACTGTGTGATCTGTAGCGAATGCCCGTACTTTACGATACAATCACGTCTGGACAGGCCGCTGGGATGCGAGCAGGGTCGCCCTGCAGGTGACATGCCGGTGGCAGGAGTAGAGTCCAGGTCTTGGAATTGAACCATCTTCAGGGAAGCGCCTCCGGCTTGTATTGTTACACGTAACACTCAGGGAGTCCAGTGCCCTTGGCCCTGACTCACTGCACACCCCAGACTCCTTCGTGGAGCCGGGAGGGGCCGTCCTGTCTTCTGGCATCAAACCTGGAAACACGCGGGCCTGTGAGAAAACACCACTTTCTCCCCCGCTTTCCCCTGAAGTCGAGGTGACATTTCGGTGGCTTCCAGAGAGTCGTGTTGGCATTTTCCCTGACGCCCGGGGAAGTGATAGTCGCCGTCCGGTGTCACAGGAGGGAAGGCTGGGAGTGGCACCGGCTGCAGCTCCGTGGCACTTGTCCCTCCCGGCCCCTCCGGAGGATGCGACCGGCTTTCCTTCTCCTTTTCCTGGGCTTCCTCACGCAGGGGGCTGACACACACCCACTTTTGAGGCCCCCCTCTAGGTAGAAGCTAGGCTGTGGGGGGGCAGCCGGCAGTGCCGTGTGCACAGCAGCGTCCCCGCCTATGTGGCCCTCGCGGCCCGACATCGCTAACGCTGGCGGTAGTTCAGGACAACATCTGCTTGTGGGTGTCCCGCCGTCTGACAGGCAACGACCTACAGGCGGGGTGGCGGGAGTGAGTGCCCGGCGGGCGCTCTGCTCGGTGCCTGTCCACTGACTCTCCCCAGAAGAGCAGAAAGGACACAAAAAATGCCCTGATTAGTGGTCACACACAGGAACCTGCCCGGATCTGTCCTTTTATTCAGCCTCAGCTCCAACTTTTGTTGAAAGTGCACTCCTGTTTCTTATTTGGAAAAGTCGTTGTCTTCAGGTTAGTGGTCCCCTCCCTGAGGAGTCTGCGTCACCACCGCCCTCCCGTGGGAGAAATATGGTGACCCAGTGGCTCTGCGTCCCTGTCGTTCACAGCACCGTGTTGTCAGAGTTTCTCTGCACGTGACGGCCCTGTTTCGGGGACACTTTCCGACCGGCACTGTTGTGTGGCTCCTGTGAGGTGAAAGCGCAGGCAGGCCTCGTGGGCCGATCGGCCGTCGGCTGTGACCGGGCTAAATGACATTTTCTGTGAATTCTCTTCGGTAGAAGTTGATATGCTTTGGCCTTCGTGCTTAGAAACAGGGCCTCCTCCGGAGCTCCCGTGGCACTGGCCTCGTAATGACGCCCCCCCCCCCCCGTGTCCCCACAGATACCGAGTGGCAATCTGGGTCTGTTCGGCAGCGGCGGAGCAGCACAAGCCAGGACCATGCAGCCGCCGCCGCAGCCGCCCGTGCAGCCTCTGAGCTCCTCCCAGCCCAGCCTCCGCGCTCAAGTGCCTCCGTTTCTATCCCCTCAGGTGGGGGCCACAGCCATGTCCCTGCCGCCCAGCCAGGGGGTCACCAGTGCGGCCGCTGGGGGGGTCCTCCCAGCGCGCCGCCTCGCACCCTGCCCGCTGCCACGCGTGTCCTGCTCCTGACAGTCACCCACAGGAGCCCGGTGAATGGGGCCAGCCAGCACGTTGCTTGGGGCGGAAGGAGCCGCGTGGGGGCAGCCAGGGACGGAGGGGCGCTTTTGCTTTAGGGCCCGACCTATTGGGACCCTGTGTCAGACCGTACACGTTACTGGCTTCTTAGTTGAGTCCGTTACTTAGTATCAGACCAGTTTTTCCCACAGGGATTCTTTAAGAATAAAAGGAAAAAAAAGACCAAACAGAAGTCAGGAAAGGTGGTTATTTTGTGTGGCTCAAAAGCAGATGGATTTTTTCATTCCAATATTGTTTATTTTTAGAATATTTCATAATCTTATTCTTTGGACCAAGTTTTTCATTACAGTGTTTCAGTCCTTATCCCTCGTAAAAATATTCAATAATAGAATATTAGCCGGAAGGGGCTACTCCCCCACAAGTAGTTGAACCCGGCCAGATTTGCACACTGAGCCCAGACGGCTGAGTGCAGGTAAAAGAATACATTCACTCATCAGGACGCAGGGTGAACTGCTCTGACCGAGGCCGCAGAAGGCAGAAGTGAAGACCAGACGGGCGTCTGCTTCTCAGGGCGGCGACAGCAGGGAGCCCCGCAGGGCGCTTCCGCTCACATCTTGCAGCCCGGGCCCGGCTGGCAGGCAGCTGGCTTCCCACGCCCGGCAAAGCACGTGTCACCCTGTGCCCTCACGTTACCTGTTCTGTGACATAACACGCTCCCTGTAAGTGCCTTGCCTGCTTCAGTCAATCTACCTGTAAAGCCCGACACATCTACCATGCAGAGAAAACTCAGGGTGTTTCTAATACACATTAGACAGCTGTTCAAGGAAAAGATGCCCATCCCTGTTCCGCCTAAAGTTACCTTGCATCAGTGTCGCGATCAGCACACACGCCGCACAGTGGCAGACACAGAGACCTCTAGTGCCGGGCCCGGGCGGGAGGGGGGATCAACAGTCCAGGCTCGGGCTGGCAGAGCAGAGGTGGGCCACTTCCCGAGCCCGTCCACAGATGAGACCCTCCCCTGGGGTGGCCTGTTTTCGCCATGACAGAGGGGAGATCCGTTTGCAGTGGGGGTCCCTGGATCCTGAGCGGCCTGACCGTGACCGCAGCATGTGGGGGGGAGGGCCTTCTCGTCTTTACTTGCCCGCCTCCCTCGCTTCCTTCCCCAGAAGCATATTGGCCACAAGGGCACATGTCCAGGAGTTTGCTAATGGCTTTTGCAGTTCCTCCCTGAGACGGGTCATTCATTAACGAGTTCTGCATCTTGGGAGGCCGCACGCACAGACGCCTGACACCCTCCTTTGTGTCCGACAGGTTCAAGCACAGCTTTTGCAGTTTGCAGCAAAAAACATTGGTCTCAACCCTGCACTATTGACCTCGCCGATCAATCCTCAGCATATGACGATGTTGAACCAGCTCTATCAGCTGCAGCTGGTGAGTAGACAGATCGTTCGACTTCTAGAACTAAGGGAGAGTGCACACCTGACGTTCACGTAGCTCTGCCGGCCGCACACCCTGACTGAGACGAGTAGTGCGTGCAACGCTGTTTCCATGTCAGGGAAGCTGGTTGAGCTCTCGTAAGATTTGTGGACTGCTAACAAGATTGGGAAGGTTTTCACTTATGGCTGCTTCTCCTTAGCTTTGTAAATTGCCTGGTCCCATCACAGAGGCTTCCAGATCTTACTGTCAGGCATGCCCTCTCACTGGGGTCTCAACTAGCTTTTTTCATGCAGAGTTTCCTGTCCAGACCACATAATACAAAAAATGTTTGATGGTTTTCTAAATTCTCCAGGGATGGTATACCCACATACTATTCTGAAAGCATAAACGAGAAGTTACCTATGACATACAAAAGACTGCCTTAGAGATTAGGATTAAATCCTCTCTCAAAATGCCTATTGACAAAGGTGGATGTAGCCTCATAGGTCTAGAAGGTTTTACAGTTTAACATGTCTTCAGTTTTTAATTATCAGTAGTCTTACGTCCACTAAGGACCCGGTGTGTCCCTTCTTTCTTTAGTATGTTGACGTGGGGTGCGTGGGTTTTTTTTAACATAACGTATTGTCAAATTGGCTTACATACAGCACCCAGTGCCCTCCTCAGTGAATACCTGCTTTATTTAGATCTTGTCCAATGGCTTCATCCCCTAGAAAATGACTGGGAATCACGAAGGAAGGAAGAAAGGTCTCCTGTAGACAAAAGCATTGATGCCAAGCCTTTCCTTACAGGAGAGCCCTGGGCCCTCTCAGTGCTCACCCTTTACTGCCTGTTAGACACCCACCTAACCTGTTTGAGTGTCGGTTCCCCATAAGCCCCAGCACAGCCTGGGAGGAGACCAAGCCCCGAGCCAAATTGTGGTGTCCGGGAGGACACGGCTCTGGAAGGGGGTCGTGACCATGACAGACTCTTGGAGACAGTTTCTTCATCCATAAAATGGGAAACGGGGGCACCTTGCAGTGTGGGAGTGAAGGGGGGGTGGGACCGAGGCTTCCCAGGGCCTGAAGGCGCAAAGGGTGGGTGGGTGGAGCGCCCAGGATTATGCTTTTACCACCAGCCTGGCCTCAGAGACGGAGGAGGAAACAACCATAAACATGGGGCACACACTTAGAAAAAAAGCGTATTCTTTAGAGCTCTTATTATAGGGGAAAACCGCTTTCTGCTCCTTGAGAACACTAAGGACATTGCCGGATTCTGACGTGAGGCGCAGTGGTCATCATACTGATGTTGCAGGGCCTCTTATTTATACAGTAATTTTATTGCCTCTTATGGTGTGAAAGATATGATGAAAATCTTTCTCTTTCCCACGGAGGCATTTTACTTACACGTACTGATTACGCCTCTAGGATCTTCCCTCACGCGTGTTTTCGCCCTGCTTCTGCGTGGTCCCCAACGCCAGCTGAGGTGGTCGGCACAGTGAGACCAAGCCAGCAGGGCGGGGGAGCAGGTGGCTCGGCCATTTTTCTAGACGTTTGAGTGGTGCGTCACCTCTGGTGCTGATCGCTCCGCACGTGCTTCACCTGCCCGGGAGGTTCCCAGCGCCCTTCCCTGCCCCGTGAGCGTCGGTGATTTCACACTCGCCGCCATAACCGCGCTTCGTCATCTCAGTCAGAAACTGCCCGGTAACTGAGCGGGGCCCGCAAGGACGTGGCGTGTGCCCGGCCTCGGCACCGTCCGTGCTCTTGAGTGCCAGGACGGTCGTGCGTGCGGGCGGGCGGCCCGGGACGATGGCGGAGAGAGCAAAATAACTTTGAATTCTGTTTAGCGTATTCTGTTTTAAAACCACGCACGCCGCTTTTACAATTTTAAGTTTGTTTCTTTTTGAGAGAGACAGAGAGAGAGAGCGCACTCGTGCAAGCAGGGCAGGGACGGAGGAGGGTGGGGAGAGATACTCCCAAGCAGGGCCTGCACAGTCAGTGCTCAGCCTAAGCCGCCCAGGCTTCCCTAGTTTTTCATCTTCCCGTCATCTCTTTTTATTTTTGGTATGTATGACTCAAGCAGAAGAACTTTGATCCTGGGCGCCTGGGGGCTCAGTCAGTTGAGCGTCTGGCTCTTCATTTCAGCTCAGGTCGTGATCTCACGGTTTGTCAGTTTAAGCCCTGCGTCGGGCCCCAGGCTGGCAGTGAAGAGCCTGCTTGGGATTTCCCCTCCACCTCTCCCTCTCTCTGCCCCTCCCTCCTCTCTCTTTCTCTCTCAAAATAAATCAATAAACTTAAAAAAAAAAAAAAAAAGAACCTTGATCTCTTCATTAATTGAAAAATATTTACTGACAGACCTCATTGCCTACCCTTCACAGGGGTACTGGCTGAAGTACTCTGTAAAACTCTATGCCCTGGAAGGATTGGGGAGACACTTCTTTTATTTATTTATTTATTTTTAAATTTCTGAGAGAGAGAGAGAGAGAGAGAGAGAGAGCGTGAGCAGGGGAGGGTCAGAGAGAGAGGGAGACACAGAATCTGAAACAGGCTCCAGGCTCTGAGCTGTCAGCACAGAGCCCAATGTGGGGCTTGAACTCAGGAACCATGAGATCATGACCTGAGCCGAAGTCGGACGCTTAACCAACTGAGCCCCCCAGGCGCCCCGAGACACTTCTTTTAAAAACACTCCCACCTCGGGGCGCCTGGGTGGCTTAGTCGGTTAAGCGTCCGACTTTCGCTTAGGTCATGATCTCGCGGTTCGTGGGTTCGAGCCCCGCGTCGGGCTCTGTGCTGACTGCCAGCTCAGAGCCTGGAGCCTGTTTCAGTCTGTCACTCCCTCTCTCTCTGACCCTCCCCTGCTCACACTGTCTCTCTCTCTCCTAGAAATAAATAAAACATAAAAAAAAAAATAAATTAAAAAAAAAATAAATAAATAAATAAATAAAAAAACACTCCCACCTCACAGTAGGCTTAAACCCCAGCACAGTAAGGGGGACCAAGAATCTCGGCCGCTTTCTGCCTTTTTTTTTTTAAACTAATAAACAAAAGTAGAACCACTCGTTGACGACTTTGTTACGGGATTTTACCCGTTCTCTCTCAACAGGCATACCAACGTTTACAAATCCAGCAGCAGATGCTACAGGCTCAGCGTAATGTTTCCGGACCCATGAGACAACAGGAGCAGCAAGTAGGTGGCACCCCGAGGGCACAGCTGGACTCGCGGGCTCCCGTCTTCCCCAATCGGAAGATGCGAAATGGCGAGCTGTTACGTTGGCGTTGACTTTCCGCCTGCCAGGCGTCCCCTGTTAGCAGTCCTGCGGTCCCCTAGCTCTGGGAGGAGGTTGGCCCAGCCCGCGGATCCCAGATGACCTGGGTCTGCAGGCAGGCGAGGGGCGGCCCCTTGGGGACCTTTTCAAATTGGCGTTTCTGCCACCAGGTCGCGCGCACAATCACTAACCTGCAGCAGCAGATCCAGCAGCACCAGCGCCAGCTGGCCCAGGCCCTGCTCGTGAAGCCGCCGCCGCCCCCGCCGCACCTGTCTCTGCACCCCTCTGCAGGCAAATCGGCCATGGACAGCTTCCCCCCCCACCCCCAGGCCCCCGGCCTGCCTGACCTGCAGACCAAAGAGCCGCAGTCTTCACCCAGCACCTTTGCTCCTTACCCTCTCGGTGAGTCCCCGTGGTGTGAGCGAGCCTCCGCACCCCGCGGCCACGCCCGGGGCTCGCCGCTCTCTCCGGGGCTTCTTGGTAAGGGAGGGACACTGGCCATCTTCTGCGGAGCAAAATTTCGCTACAGCCACAAATACCTTTAAGAAGAAAATCTTTTAAAATAGTAGCCGTAGAAGCCCCAGAATTCCCACATTTCTGTTGTTGAGTCGGTTTGTTCTGTTCCTGGTTTACTTCTCTTTAGCAGACACCAGCCTCCAACCGAACCACAGTCTGAGCTTGTAACGGTTCTGCTAGTAAAGGTGTTTAGATTTTCACCAGTCAGGCACTTCTGGGAAAGCCGGGGTCGTCCACCCAAGCCCTGTAGTGTAGACGGTGGTTTGCGTAATCCACCAAGTCCACATGCATGTGTTGACCCCCAGCCCGTAGAAAGCACGCCCATGAACCTCGCAGGGGAGCAGAAGACGGGGTGCCGCCCTCCAGGTCACACAGGCTAGCCAGGGGTGCACAGGTCACGGAACCGAAGGCCGGATAGAGGGCATGTCGCAGGGAGGCGTGGGTCCGTAAATCGATGGCACATGGAACATTTTCTGTAAGAAGCCAGAAACCAGTGAAAGCTCTCTCTCACTCCCTCTGTCTTTCTCTCTCTCTCTCTGCTCCTCCCGCATTCTCTCTCAAATAAGTAAACTTTAAGGGAAAAAAGAAAAGATTTTCTTCCTCTGCCCCTCCCCCCAGCACACACCTGCACACACATGCTCTGTCTCAAAAGTAAACTTTAAAAAACCAAAGTGGGGATACTTATCTCCTGGGGTCCATTAAAGATTAAACGAGTTGATACATGAAGTTCTCAGGACAGTGCCCAGCATGCACCAAGCCTTCTGGCGTGTGAGCTGGACAGAGGCTCGTCTGGTCCAGGAACTGTTGTTTCAGAGCCAACCTCAGCTCTCTCTGTCCTCCCAGAATGCTTCAGCTTCAGCGTCCTAGTATCTGTCTGGCCTCCTAATCTTATTTGGGGGAATAAAGTACATTAATCTTTACTCCTAGAGATTTTTTTCTTAGTATAAATGAAAGAATTAGTAGTGAATCTTCAAAATTAGATGAAAAATAATTTGGGTAATATTGGATAAAACCGCCTACCTGTTTGGCTCTTGGCGATTTTCTTCAACGATTGTATTTCCATCCAGTGTGTCTTGACTGCTGGCATTGTCGTCCACACGGGAAGATCAGGCACAGAGTCACAAACGATAACCTTCCTAGCCAGCGCCACGGAGCGGGGGAGCGCGTGTTCACCCCGTGGGGAGGGAGAGGCCAGAGCAGGGCCTCGGCTTTGATCTCAGAGGAGCGGGGACTTCGGTGGTGAGGAAAGGGCGTGTCCTGGGCGCTCATGCTGACTTGGGGGCATGCGGTCCACAAGCAAACGGGCAGCTGGGAAGGTCAGTTCAGGCCTTGCACTTTGAAGGCCAGACTGGAGCCCAGCCTCGATCCCTTAGCTGACTAGATGTACGCAGGCAAAGGGAAGGCGGCTGTCCGCGCAAACCACGCATAGGCGGCCCCAGCGTTCTGTTCTGTCCATAGAGTTTGTGTGTGAATTGCCAACATTTTTGAAAAGTGACTTCTGGCTTCTTTTCAAGTGGCTCCCTGGGCCTGCCTCCCCCGTGGCCGGCACTGGCTGGCCCCAGCGGCAGGCACCTGAGGCTGGCCGAGCACTGTGGGGTTGGCCACCGTTCACCAGCAGGCCCGCCTCATGCCCACCTGGCCTGTGAGCTCACAGGCACCTATTTAAGGTTAAAACCAGAAGTGTCCAGTGCCTTGCTCAGGAGTAGAGAATCCCTTCTGTTCGGCCTGTGTGCACTGGGCTGGGCTCCTGCTGGCGATGCTCTCCCGGCCTGGCATTCAGCCCAGCTCATGACTAGTGTCCCCATCAGGGGCTCCTCACTGCCGCCTCTGTAGCATCCTCCTCGCCTCTCTTTATTAGCCTGGCACAGGGTGGCCACATATCCGGCCGCACGTGCTCTTAACCCTAAGGAAAGACACCCAGGATTGGCTTGCCATTCCAGCCGTGGGCCCCTGGCCGCCCCCTTACTCTCCCATAGGTCAGGTCCTTAAAAGGACTTTGGTGTTTAATTGATAGACTCCTGAAGGGCAGACTCTTGTAGAGTAAGGTCACTGAAGGTGGGATTGACGCTCCCCTACCAGCCTTATTCTGGCTGGTACTTGAGAGCACCGTCTAGAACTCCAGAACACCCGTCCTGACCTGGGGAGCTTCCCTAAGGCCGTCCTAATCGTCTGTCCGCGTCCTGTCTCTTGGCGGGAGCACCGGGAGCATGTCCAGCTCTGAAAAGAGCGAAATGGAAAGAGTCACTGGTCTTACTTAATCAGAGAATATGTTTCCATTTCACCTTAATTTGGGAATAACATTCCTGGAAATACATGTTGTTAAGACAAAAAGCTTTTCTCTCTGCTGGCATTAAAAGTTAAAGTATTTGGCCACGAGTTAAGGCTAGGATTGATTCTCCAGGAGAGCTTTAGAATGTAGTAAAACTTAGAGGAAGAGCAGGCACATCCTAATAGCGTTTTTATTTTTAGCTGGACTGAACCCAAACATGAATGTCAGCAGCATGGACGTGACCGGCGGCTTGTCGGTGAAGGACCCGACTCCGTCCCAGTCCCGCCTCCCTCAGTGGACACACCCCAACCCAATGGACAACCTGCCCGGTGCTGCTCCTCCCCTCGATCAGAACCCCAGCAAGCATGGTATGTCCCAGCATGGGGTGCCCCGTGGGGGGTTGGGGAGACCCCGGTGTTGAAAACAACGCCAGACAGCAAGGACATGGACCATAGCCTGAGTGGTCTTTATTTGTATCTGTAATCCTCATTCTTCAACAAGAAAGCTTGTCCACCGAGAAGAAATGTTTTCAGTAAGACACAGTAGGTTCCCAACTTGACAGAATTCATGGTTCTTAAAGAATTGCCGTCGTGTGGCGCCCGGCTGGCTCTGTTGATGGAGCCTACAGCTCTCGATCTCAGGGCTTCGAGTTCAGGCCCCAGGCTGAGCGTAGGGATTACTTAAAAATGAAATCTTTAGGGGCATCTGGGGGGCTCAGTCGGGTGAGCATTCAACTTCGACTCAGGTCATGATCTCACGGTTCATGGGTTCGAGCTCCACGTCAGGCTCTGTGCTGAAAGTGCGGAGCCCGCTTCAGATCTTCTGTCCCTCTCTCTCTGCCCCTCCCCCACTTACACTCTCAAAACTAAGTAAAATGAAATAAATTTTAAAAATAGTAGGGGCGCCTGGGTGGCTCATTTGGCTAAGCCTCTGACTTCGGCTCAGGTCATGATCTCACGGTTCATGAGTTCGAGCCCTGCATCAGGCTCTGTGCTGACAGCCAGCTCAGAGCCTGGAGACTGCTTCGGATTCTATGTCTCCCTCTTTGTCCCTCCTCTGCTCGCACTGTCTCTATCAAGAATAAAGAAACATTTAAAACAAAGTTTACATAATAACAGTAATAATAATAATAAAATCTTTAAAAATACAAAACAATTTCAGTCTTTCGCAGGCAAACTAACAGAGAGAGTTCCTTATCCTCAGAGAGTGCTGGACAAATCGAGTCTGCCGCTTCCTGTACCCCTGAAAGGGATGGGGCCTGGTGCCCAGGGGCTCCCTGTTCACTCGGCTCCTTGCTTCCTGCTGTCCTCACAGGTGCTATCCCTGGAGGCCTGAGCATCGGGCCTCCAGCTAAGTCCTCTATCGACGACTCCTATGGCCGGTACGATTTAATCCAGAGCAGTGAGTCACCAGCCAGTCCTCCGGTAGCTGTCCCCCATAGCTGGTCACGTGCCAAATCTGACAGTGATAAAATCTCGAACGGCTCCAGCATCAACTGGCCCCCAGGTAAGCGCGAGCGAGGCTTGCGTGCGGCGGCAGAGCGTGTGCCACGCCCAAGGGGAGCCGTTCTGCTCCGGAGAAGCCAGGGTCTGAGCCAGGAGTCCTGGAGGCACGAACCCGGCTCCGGCTTTTCCACTGGAAATCCAGACTGGGGAAGTGGTCCGCCCCCAGCGCTTCCCAGAAGCCCCTTAGTTCAGTGGAAGAAGGACGGGCGCTGGGTGGCCCCTGGTCAGACAGTTTCTAGACTTCACATTGTCTGAGCGCTGCCCAAATGTGGCAGCGACAGTACCTGCCTCTGGCTGGTTCCCAAGGAACGATGATTCCTCAGTGGAAAGAAAGCCTAGGCCATGTCCCCCGTTCTAACCAGTACAAAACTTCTCGTGAAGCAACACGAAGACACTGCGATACTCACATGGTTTGATTTCCATTTTGTTTGGCCTTTTCCAGAATTCCATCCTGGAGTCCCGTGGAAAGGACTTCAGAATATAGACCCTGAGAACGACCCTGACGTCACTCCTGGAAGTGTCCCCACCGGGCCCACCATCAACACCACCATACAGGACGTCAACCGCTACCTCCTCAAGAGTGGAGGTGAGGTGTCGGGGTGAGGGAGGGCCGTGAGGCAGGGGCGCTGGGGCACGCGTTCATGTGCGCTCCTCACCGTCCGGAGGTAGCGCTGACGGTGAAAATGGAGTGCGCTTCCGACCAAGTGGGCCTGCTGGATTTACGGGCATGTCATTTTAGAGCTCTGCGTGACAGCATCCCGATATTAGCGATGAAGCTTTTTAGTGGAAAAGTTCCCACTTAGGGTCTACTTAAAATGCAGATGAATTGACTCTTTACGTCTCCATCTCCGTCCCTTTCCTCCCACAAAGTCTGGTAAAAAGACTGAAACCTCCCCCCCAGCACTATGTCCCCGGCAGAGCCCAGGGTGCTGAGTTTCGGCACACTGTGTGTCAGACGTTAGGGTCCAGTAGGAGGAAGTGGGGAGCTGGCTGTGAAGCTCAAATCCCAAGTGCGGCCTCCGGGCATGGCGCCCAGGCAGGCGGGCAGGCAGCACAGCTCCAGAAGTGCGGGCGCTGGTAGAGTCACGGCATCAGCCTCAGGATGGCGTGTCGGACTAGCCAGACCGTGGATGCTCATTCCTAATAAGGCCGCTCAGGTCATTCCAGAACGTTAATCCAGGTTTCCTGATGCGGGTGAGACTGTGGGAGAGATGCAGTTCTTCCCAATGGGACCTTAAAGTGGTGGGCTTCTAGGTGTTTCTGTGGTTTGGGTAGAAAACCAGCAGATGTGCAGACTGCACTGTTCAGTGCTGTGCATTCCTCTTGCTTCGATGCCGCTGCCGCTTAGAACGACCCTGCCGCCAGGGACGGGACTGGTCCAGGGAGCACGGCACGGAGCCTGTCCAGGATGGCAGGGTTGTGTCCGAGCTGGAGTAGCCGTCAGTGTGTTTTGAGGGCCGTGGGCAGGTGTGAAGAGGCAGCGCTGGGCCAGGAAACAAGACCTCGGAAAGCGTCGAGGTTGCGTGGTGCGAGCTCTGCTGCCCCCGTGGGTCCTCCAGGGGCCCCTCGGCCTGTGAGTGGCCCTCGGAGCACCGCGGGCGACACAGACGAGTGTGCCGAGCCCAGCTGTGCCGAAGGCGCCCTACAGAAGTAGGTGAACCTGAGGACAGGGTTCTCAAGGACACAGCCGTCCTCCAGCCCAGAGTAGCCGAGTGGGAGACGCGCAGGAGCATCTAGAAGCCTCAGTCGGTGGCATCAGGATGATGAGAAAACAGCATTTCCAGCTCCAGAATGAAGAATCAGGCAGCCATCCAACCTGGGCACCTCAAAGCTTCCCGTGATGGGGGGTGTCTTCCGGGCGGCGGTCACTGGATGTGACGAGTGTCGGGCAGCTCCCACCAGGCTCTTTCTGCACGTCCTGGAGGCCCGCGCCCCTCTGCTCCTGAGCCCCCGTGGTTTGCTGTTTGGGAGAAGGGGACACACAGAACTTCTCTTTATGTAAAGTGCTGACACTGTCACGCCCCTGCCCTGGCCCCTGCCGCAGCACAGGACTGCCAAGGCCAAGGCCGGACCCGCTGAGCTGGCTTGGCCACCGCCCCAGGTGGGCCCACCGGCTTCCAGGTCTCGTGAGATTCTGTCTGCGGAAGGAAACGCGACAAGTAGACTGTGCTCATGTCCCGTCCCCGGTGCTCGAGCAGCCGTGGTCACACAAGGGGACTGCACCTGGGGGCCCCTGCCCTCCCACTCCCCACACGGCTCTCCACCGCACGCCCGTGTCCTGGGGAGCCCGTGGACACACCCAAGACGTTGAGTCGAAATGAGGTGCTGGTCTTTAAGGAGAGCAAAGAGCTCAGAGTATATTTTCTTTTAATTTATGGTTCTTGTTTGAGGTGTGAGTAGCTGGAGACAGTGCCCCGTCCTGTTAGTCTCCTGTTTGTGGGGGAATCGGTGTGACCCCGTCACACTCAGGACGCCGTTCTCGACACCCTGCCGGTGGTGCCCTGACGCCCTGCGCACCTGGGGGAGCGCCCCGGCCTCTCCGTGTGGCCAGGGACCCCACGTGGGGGTGGGGGGCGAGCCTCAGGGCCTGCCCAGGCCATGGTCCCGACCGTGTCTCGCTCGTACCGTCAGCCTCCCTCCGAGGTCCCCTTAGGAGATGCCCCCCTGGTGGGTGGCTGTCACACCGCCAGGCGCGTGGCGCCCCCTCAGTGCCGTGTCTGCTCCCGCAGGGTCCTCCCCACCGTCATCTCAGAGTGCCGCGCTGCCTTCCTCGAGTGCCTGGCCGCTCAGTGCCTCCGGCTACGCTCGCTCCTTCAGCAGCATCGCGCCCGCGCCCAGCATTGCAGGTACGCGCCGGCCTCGCGGCTCGCTCCGTCCCCAGGCGGAACCGTCTGGCCGGGCCTTCCCTGCCATTCACCCGCTGACCCCAGAGCCGGGGGTGTGGCCCAGAGGGGGCCTGGGCATCTCTGCCCCCGCCGTGTGCAGCGGGCATGGGAACATTGCCTCTGCGGGGCTGTCGTGAAGGGCACGTGCACCTCCACCCTCGCTCCCCCACAGCGACAGGACAAGGGGCTCCCAGGGGCGAGGGACGCGCAGTCCGCACCTGCTCGGACTCTGCTGTCACCTTGACCATCGTGGATGGAGGAGACGAGAGGGTCCCATAAAGTGTGGCCACTTGCCGTCGCTCGGATTAGTACAGCGCCTGGGTTACTTCTCTATTACCCTGGATTTCTGTAAGTGAGAAATTTCTTCCAGGCTTACAGGAGAACGGAGAAGTGTCTGTCCCAGAAACTTCAGAGGGATTTGTATCAGAACCTTTAAGACAAGGCTATAAAGAGATGTCGGTACACACGCTAACAGAATGTGTATCCGGTTTGCAAATAGACCGGAAACTTAACATAAGGAGGGTTTATTGTTTACAAACGTCTTCAAATATATTTCCGTATTCCTTCAAACCTTGTTGTCCAGAGTTTTTTAAACCAGTGTAAGGATGACATAGGAATTCTTTTTAGTACTTGTCCCTGAGGAAGAAAGTAGTTTTGATATAATTTAGCATCAAATTTTTCCTTTTACTCTGTAGTCAATTTTTTTTTTTTTTTAATTTTAATCCCAGTGCTGCTAACAGACAGTGTCATGTTACTTCTCAGTGCACAGTACACTGATTCAACATATGGGTTAGCGTCTTACTAAAGAGAGATTCTGGATCTCTCTCTTCCTTCTAATGTTTATTCTTTCTGATGTTTACAGAGGAGAGGCATGTAGACCTTTAATGCCCCCGTAATCATTTGGCTGAAGAGAAGGGCCGGAATCAAATCATTCTCCCTGCATCTCAGGCAGTTTTTATAGCATTTTTGCTTTTCTGGTCAAGGATGCCTTTGCTAAGATTAGCATTTATTTAAAGTCACAGCCCACCCCAGTGGCCAGAGGCGGGGGGCCACTCCACACAGAGTCCATGTTGGCCCTGGTCACTGCCATGCCGCCAGGGACCACAGCAGCGCAAAGACTCGGCCGCCAGCACTTCCTGCCCTTGCCGCTGGCCGGGTGAGGCGGGCACCGCCCTATCCGGGTGTCCGCACATCCCAGCCAAGCCCTGGGCGCAAGAGAAGCTGGGGCCGGGAGTCATTGCCAGTTTGGTGTTTGCTCCCAAAGAGCCTCAAAACACTGTTCCCCCGGCTGAGGTTCTAAGATGCCGAAGGCCCAGCCCCCAGCGCCGCGGGGCCACAGGCGTCCGCGTGTGCAGTGCAGCCCTGCAAGCAGGTCTCAGCCGTGGGCGGTCAGCGCACCGCCGTGGAAAGGGGCTCACGCCTAAAGCCGTATCTTGAAGGATCTACAGGCAGGTTAGGCTTTTGACCTCAATTAGTTACCTTATGAGCTTGTCCCAGGAGAGGATGTTGGTAAGTCAGCTTTCACGCTGAACTACAAGAATGCCCTTCTTGGGGTAGCACGTCTGGTTCTGGCACATTTCGCAGATTAAGTGTAAGTACTGGCGGGGTCTCTCCTGGCCGCAGGCCGACTGTGCTTCTGGGCAGAGATTCAAGAGCAGGCATTCTCCGTGGTACTTGGGTGGGGGTGCCTTACTTGCTGTTCCTCTTATATGATGCATTCTGCTGGCGCCAGACAGCACCCGTGCGGTGCCCCACGCGCTGCACTGAGTTTCTTCTCCATCTCAGAACACCTGTGCTCTGTCTCTGCCTTTCTAGGTAAACTGTCAGACATTAAATCGACGTGGTCCTCCGGCCCTGCCTCCCACACACAAGCCTCTCTGTCTCATGAACTGTGGAAGGTGCCCAGAAACACTACTGCACCCACGAGGCCGCCTCCAGGGTTAACCAATCCCAAGCCTTCCTCCACCTGGGGAACCAGCCCCCTCGGCTGGAGCAGCGCTTACTCCTCGGGTACGAGCCCCTCCCTGAGCGCACGGACCGGGCAGGTGGGGAGGCAGGGGCTGGGTGCCTGCTCCACTTACTCTTCCGGGAACACCCCTGTCATCTTGTCCCGTGACTCCTTCACGAGGACCGCTGTGCCCCCAGCCCCCAAGCCCGGCACCCCAGACTCTCAGGGACTGTTCTGGCCCCGCGCTCCAGCGGCCCCGGTATTCAGCCTCCACCCTGGGCCCGGCAGTCACAGCGCCGTTCGAGGGGCCACCCTGGGCCCGGGGAGAAAGCCCGTTCGTGTGCAAGGGGCTCCATTTCCACTTGCACACTTGCTTCTCCACAATATGTCTCTGGGGCCGACGGCTTTCCTGCAAGAACGAAACCAGGCCCCCAGCACGCAGCAGCTGCTGCATCCTGATGCGACAGGTCCGCAGGCCACCGCCAGTGCCTTCTGCCGAGCTGTGCGGGTGGAAGAGATGTGGGCACCAGGAGCCTGGGAGGCCGCCGCACATAGTTTGGAAATTGCCGTCGGCCCCTTGACAGCAGCCCTGTGGCTCCGCATGATTAACAAGCGGGATTTTAGAGCGTTGACTCTAAGGGGCGTGGGGGCCAAGGAGGAGGCAGGAACTTTTAGAACTCTCTCTCCCTCATCACACCTGCCCCCAAGGGTCTGCAGGGATTGTGGGCTTGGGTTCATCAGACCAAGAAAATAACGTGGGTTTTCAAAGGTTGAGAAAGGCTTGGAGCGCGCAGTGCCATCTGGGCCGGCGAGATGAGAGGCCCCGGAGGCCGTGCTGACTTCTCTTCCTTGTCACGTAGGTTCCGCGTGGAGCACCGACGCCTCCGGAAGGACGAGCAGCTGGCTCGTCCTCCGCAACCTCACGCCCCAGGTACAGGCAGCACCGTGAGGGCCACCGAGCGGGGCCCCCTCACAGGCCGCTCTGTGTGCCGGGGCCCCTCGTGTTCCTGGTTTATTCTTTAGGCTTAGTTTATTTCTTATCGTTTATTTTTTAGGCTTATTTCATTATTTTGTATCGCTTATTTTTTAGGCTTAAAGACTCTACCTTTTAAACAGTTGCTCGCCTTTCGTTGTGCCCCCTGGAGAGTGATTTGTCCTGTGCTCCCCTTTCCTGGGGTCACTCCTAGCTGGGTGGGGGTGGGCGGGGAGGCCAGAACCAAAATGGGGTCTTTTCTTTCTCCTGATTTGCTTAACTTACAAAACATAACTGAAACATCCAGGGTTAAAGTTACACGGTAAATTACCAGGCAGAAAGGTTACAATCATGAAGTATCCGGCAGACTTTTGCCCAGTGTTTAGTGCCCAGGGTCATCTACGTTTCCTTTGAAGATTGTCGTGGAAGAAGCCCCAGGAAGCTCGTTACCGCCCTCTTTGCTTCCTCCATCAGATCGACGGCTCGACCCTGCGGACGCTGTGTCTGCAGCACGGGCCTCTGGTCACATTCCACCTGAACCTGACGCAGGGCAACGCCGTGGTCCGCTACAGCTCCAAGGAGGAGGCCGCCAAGGCCCAGAAGTCCCTGCACATGTAGGTGACTCGGCCGCCCACCGCTGGGGCCCCGGCAGCGCTGGGGGGGCGGGGGGTGTCCGGGGCCGCTGCGACACAGCGCCGCGGGCACAGGCGTTGACCCCCCGGTTCTGGAGGTGGCCCGGCCGAAAGCGAGGGGCCCGCGGGCCCAGTTCCCGCCGAGGCTCCACCCCTCGGCCCGCGGACGGCTGCCTCTTCCCGGTCCTCACACGCTCGCTCTCAGTCTGAGCCCGTGGGTCCTGATGCCCCGCGTTAGAAGGACCCAGTCGTTGAGGCCCCATTTTCATCACCGCTTCAAAGTCCCATCTTCAAATACGGGCACAGCCAAGGTGCTGGGGGTCAGGGCTTCAGCGCAGGTGTCCTGTGACTCGTCTGCCCCTGCTGCTCTGGGGGGCTGCTGTGGCCACGCCCTCCCCTGGGGAGAGCCCCCCCCCCCGGGAGCCTGTAGAGCACAGTGACAGAAGGCGCTCTCTCCACCGGGTAGCCCCAGGCAGGTGACACATCCTTGTGGCCGCCCCCGTCCCCCCCCCCCCCCCCCCCCCCCCCCCCCCGCCCAGTTATAGGACGCTCACAGGCCTGCTCAGTGACATCAGCTGTAGGGCCTAGAAATTGGTCGTTCCCATTTTTAGCCCAGGATGTAGATGAACGGATTCCAGGTGATGCCCAAGTTGAGGGGATGCCTTCGCGCCCCTCCTGAAGAACGTAGTTACCCACACGACCCAGCTGCTGCTCAGTCTCCACTGACGAAACCAGTTCACATCCGGGCTGGGAAGTAGCGGGAGCACAACACGAGCTGCAGACTCTCCGGTGGCCGGTGGCGCCTCCAGCTGCGCTTCTCCCGTTAAAGCAGCGCGGGAGGTGGGGGAGCGGGGCGCCGGGCGGGGGCAGCGCCCGTTCTCCCCACGTGACTGCTGTCCTTTTCTGTTTGGTGTGAGGGTTTGGGTGGGTGTTCAGAGCTACGGTTGGCGCGCGGCACCGTGTCTGTTGGAGGTGTGCGCGTGCTGGCTGAGTACACTCGTGGCCTGCCGCGTGCTTACCACGTGGCATCAGCGCCCACCTCCTCGGCACCTCATTTCCGTTCCGTATTTGTTGTGAGCACACGTAAGACCGGCCCCGTTAGCAGCTTTGAAGTATCGAATGTTGCTGAGTGTGGTCGCCACGCAGTGTGACGGAGCCTCGGAACTTCCTCGTCTGCTAAGTGAAGTTTGTGTCCTTGGGACCAGCGTCTCCCCGTTTCCCAGCCCTGGGCAGCTACCGTTCTGCTCTCTCCGTCTACGAGTGTAGGTCTTGGCGATTCCACACAGAAGTGAGATCACACAGGACTTGTCGTTCTCGGACTTTTCTCACTTAGCGTAAGGCCGCCAGCATTCATGCGTGTTGTCACCAGTGGCAGGAGGACCTTCTTTCTCGCAGCTGAATAATATTCCATTGCTGGGGGGACGGTTGTAAATCCTCTTTATCCGTTCCTCCATCAACAGGCCCTCAGGCTCTTTCCGCATCTTGGCTATTTTGAATAACGCTGCAGTAATCATTTCCTTCGGGTATATACCCAGAAGTGAGATTGCTGGGTCATACCGTTCTTCTATTTTTAATTTTCTGAGAAACTTTGTAGTGGCGGGACTAATTGACATTCCCCCAGCGGTTCAGAAGGGCTCCCTGTTCTCAAGCATCCTTACCGACGGTGCTTCTCTGTCTGATGACAGCCGTCCGTACAGGTGCGGGGGACTTCTCGTTGGGTTTCGGTCTGCACTTCCCTGACGTGAGTGATGGGAGCGTTTTCCTCTGCTCCATACATTGTCTTTTCATTATATGGACAGTTTGCTGGGCAGAAGATTTTTAGTTTGATGCAGTCCTGCTTATTAATTTTTTTCTTTATTGCATCTGGTTTAAGTTTGATTTAGTTAAGTAATCTCTCTACCCAGCATGAGGCTCAAACTCCCAACGTTGAGATCAGGAGTTACACACTCCGCTGACTGAGTCAGCCGGGTGCCATGTGCTTTTAGCGTCAGATCAAAACCATCATTGCCAAGGGGGCGCCTGGGGGCCTCAGTTTGTTGAGCATCCGACTCCTGATTTCAGCTGAGGTCATGATCTCACAGTTTGTGGGATCGAGCCCCGTGTCCAGCTCTGCACGACGGCACAGAGCCTGCTTCGGTTCTCTCTCTCTCCTCTCTCTGCCCCTCTCCCCAACTTGCACTCTTACTCTCTTTCTCTCAAATTAAAAAAAAAAAAAAAAAAAATCACTGCCAAGACCAATGTCAAGGAGCTTTTTCCCTGTGTTTTCTCCCAGGAGTTTCACAGTTCCAGATCTTACGTTTAAGTCATTAATCCATCTCAGGTTGGTGTTTGTGAGCGGCGTGAGGAAGGCGTCCACTTTCCGTTTTTCTGCACATGTCTCCAGATTCTCCAGCACATTTGTTGAAGAGAGTACGCTTTCCCCATCGAGTACCCGATGCCGTTGTCAAATACTAATCGATTGTCTATGTGGGGATCTATTTCTGGCTTTCTGTTCTGTTCCAGCAGTCTGTGTGTCTGTCTGGTTTTTTGTTTGGTTGGCTTTGGAGGGTTTTTTTGTTTTGTTTTTCTGTGAGGGTTTTTTTGTTTGTTTGTTTGTTTTTTCCAGTATCAGTGATTTGAATACTGTAGCTGTGTAGTCTGGTTTGGGCTCAGCAAGTGTGATGCCTCCTGCTCGGTTGTTCTTTCTCAGAATTGCTTGAGCTACTTGAAGTCGTTTGTGGTTCCATACCAGTTCCCGTGACAAATGCCACCGAAGTTTTCGTAGGGACCCCATTGAGGTATAGATGGTGCTGAGTTGTGGGGACTTCGAATAGTATGGAGTCTTCTGACTCGTGAACACAGGACATCCTTCCATTTGTACCTTCTTCAGTTTCTCTCCTTACGTTATTGTAGTTTGCATTGCACAAAAAGTGTTCGCTTGCTTGGCTCAGTCTATTCCTAAGTGTTTTAAAAAGTTTTGATGCTGGTATGAATGAGATTTTTGTCTTTATTTCTCTTCAGGTATTTCATTGTTAGTGTATTCAAATGCAGCTGTTGTCTGTACGTGCATTATATATCCTGCCACTTTACTGAATTCTTTGATTACTACCAGTAGGTTTTTGGTTGCATCTTTAGGGTTTTCTCTACATAAGATCAAGTCATCTGCAAAGAATAACAGTTTCATTCCTTCCGTACCGATTTGGACGCCTTTTATTTCTCGGTCTGGCCTGATTATTCTGGCTAAGACTGCAGTCCTGGGTTGAACAGAAGTGGCGAGAGCAGGCATCCTTGTTTCGTTCCAGATCTTCGAGAACGTGCCTCCAGCCTCTCCCTGCTGAGTGGGGTGTTAGCTGTGTGTGTGCCGTGTGTGGACGGCCTTTATTACGGGGAGGCGTGCTCCTTCCATCCCCTACTGTGGAGGGTCTTTGTCACGAGAGGCTGTTGCGTTTTGTCAGATGCCGTCTCTGCGTCCGCTGAGACCCTTGGGTTTCGACCTTTCGCCCTGTCGGCGTGATGTGTCACCCTTGCTGGCCTGCAGATGTCGGACCGTTTTTGCATCTCAGGGATAAATCCTACTTCATCACGACGTACGATCCCTTTAAGGGGCTGTTGGCATTCAGTTTCCTAGTATTTTGTTGAGAATTCTTACGTCTGTGTTCTTCAGGAGGGCCGCGCAGTCGTTGCCTGTGTCCTGATCTGGCTTTGGTATCAAGATAACACGAGCCTCCTAAAATGATGAGGTTGGGAGTGTTCTCTCCTCTTCAGTGTTTCTGAAGGACGTGGGGAAGGACTGGTGTGGAATCCCCGAGGTTCCAGGGAGAGCTGGAGTGAGACCGCGCGGCCCCCGGCGTTTCCGTCCCGGGAGGCGTGTGGGCCGTGATGCCGTCTCCTTCCTCCTTACTGGTCTGTTCAGATGTTTTGTTTCTTCACGAGGCCGACTTGGTGGGTTACCTGCTTCTGGGGACTCGCCCGTCCCTCCTGGGCCGTGCCCAGTGTGTTGGCCCAGAAGTGCTCCCGAGAGGATGCGGCCGGATCCCGCGTGTTCCTGTGGTGTCGGTCGTCGCGTCTCCTCTTTCATTTCTGATCTTAATTATTTGACTCTTTGCTGGGTTTTTCCTTCGTCTGGCCAGAACTGTCGAATTTTGTGTCTTTCAAAAAAAAAAAAAACCCAGCTCTGAATGTCGTTGCTGTCCTGCTCTTTCAGGTGTGTCCTGGGAAACACTACCATCCTGGCCGAGTTTGCTGGCGAAGAAGAGGTGAATCGTTTCCTAGCCCAGGGCCAGGCGGTGCCGCCCACGTCCGGCTGGCAGTCGGGCACCGGGGCCGGCCAGACGCGGCTGGGCACCTCGGGCGGCTCCCACGGGCTGGTGCGGGCCGACACCGGCCACTGGAGCGCCCCTTGTCTGGCCGGCAAAGGGAGCAGTGACCTCCTGTGGGGCGGGGTCCCGCAGTACTCAAGCAGCCTCTGGGGCCCCCCCAGCAGCGACGACGGCAGGGTGATCGGAAGCCCCACGCCACTGAACACCCTGCTCCCTGGCGACCTTCTCAGCGGGGAGTCCATCTAGGACCTCGAGGACCCCCGTGGGCGCCCCCGTCGGCAGCGCTGGGAAGAGAAGGCTGACCCTTTCCAGTCCGGGCGGCGCTGAGGACCCCGCTTGGCCCGGAGCAGCCCGGCAGCCCTTGAGTACCTCCGTCCAGTACTGGGGACGCACGTCCGCCGCGGTCCTTGCGAACTGTCCACGGGACAGTGCGGGCCGCGCTTGGTCAGTGTCACATGCTAATGACAGGATGTTCCTCATAGCTTTTTATTTTGTGTCGTCTTATGTTCCTATGGTGTGTCGTCGTTTTGATTTTTTAAGTATAAAAGCTGCTTAGACTAGTTCTATCATGAAGGGCACTTTTCAGATCGTGGGCTGGAAAGGGTTATTTTATCAAGGGGGGGGCGGGAGGGAGGGGGATGAGAAAGCCTATGTAAAACGAGCCTGTGACGATTATGCACATTACCAGAGGCGGCCCGGTAGCCAGGGGGGCTGGTGTCCATCACTGGGCGCAGAGCGCGGGCTCCCCGCGGCCGCCCGCGCTCTGCCCTCGGCTCCCACGGGTCCGCCTATGCACATTACCCTTGTTTCATTACTTTGTCATGTCATTTTTTTTATCCCAAAAAATATTTTTTAAAAGTTAAAAAAAAAAAAAAAGACATATCGAACATGCAAATACTTGAATCCAGCAGGCCAACGAGGAGACGCGAGCTCACCACGCCGAACCCTGCACTCCCAGGCAGGCCCCAGCGCACAGACAGGCTCCACGAGACATGTCTGAGTTCACAGCCTGTGCGCGTGTGTGCGCGTGTGTGCGCGTGCGCGCGCCTCTCCGTGTTTGTGTGTCAAGTGTGTGAGGACCTAACTGTGGGTTTTCCCTTTTATTCAGTATATAATTTTTTTTTTTTTTTTTGGCGCATTGGTCAAACGTTTGTTACTATTATTAGCTTCTAACTTTGCACTGAGTGTCCCTGCCCTTCCTTTTGCTAATCCTACACGTTAAAGAGAATTCATAGGACAGGGCCGGTGACAATTCACGTGTAAATGTTTACTCAAGGACTCTGTTACTGCGTTTAAAAATTACAGTGTATATCTCTGGAGAAATAATATGTATACCTACCTTTAGCAGCTTTTTCTTGTGGACTAATGCAAGAGAGTAATTACCACAGTGTTGCACCGAGCTTCCTTCCGTTTGGAATATAAAGCGAAAGAGAAAACAGCTGGTGCTGGACCGTGGCCATAGATCCTGGTGAGGAGCCGCCGGCCCCGCAGGGGGAGCGGGGGACAAGCACTTGGACGTGGGTGGTGACCGCTTTCGGAGGGGCCCGTGCTCAGGGCTCCCACCTGTTTACAGACCCTTTTTTCTCCTTCAGACTTTAAAATTTAAAAAAATAAAAAATTTTAAAAAGGAATTTAAAAAAAAAAGAAAAAAAACGAAAAAAAAAGAGACTTCCGTGGTAAAGAAACTATTTTCCGAATGCAGACCCGCTACTTCAGAGCTCTGGGATTGAAGTGTCGTCGCTTCCCCGGCCATCGTCGTGGACTGTCGAGTGCCCTCCGTCGAGGTGACGAGGCGTTGTGGTCACTGTGTTGCACATGCGGACGCGCTCTCAGGAAAGCCAGGGTTCCCGAGGGGCAGCTCCACACCATTTCATGTATTTTGTAACCCGACTCCTAGCACTGAAGAGGTTATTAAAAATCAAACAAAAAAAAAGAAAAAAGAATGAAAAAAAAAGAAAAAAGAAAAAAAAAAACACAAAGAAGAAAAATACCTAATCTCTAATGTGTAGCAGTTACATATTTACCAAATAACGGACTCAAAAGAAATAGATGTTTGAAGAGTGCTTTATATATTAAAAATTGCTTTATGTTTTAAAAATGATCAATGTTTTGATTGTTTTGCAAGAAAGACAGACAATGGAGTAACATACCCTCAAGTATGTTCTAAAAAATATATGAACATTGTGCTCCCTCCCTGCTCGATCAGGAAACTTGTGCATTACATTTTTTTTAATTAGCTTTTTAATGGTTTTATCAAAACAAAACAAAATAAAAAAAGGACAAAAAACAAAAAACTTAAAAAAAAACAAAAAATTAAAAAAAAAGAAGGTCCTGCAAAACTGCAGAGCGACAAAAGCTGGTTTTATAGAGGATCATGAACTATGCACAAACTGGGTTCAAGACTTGTTTTCTCAAGTTGAGTCGTGTATTTAGCTAAACAAACCTTCCTCAGAGTAATTGCATCTCATTGCCATTACCTGCGTCCTATATATTTGACGTACACGTACCTACGTGTGTACACCAAATATATGTGCGCGCCCTGCGAGCGTGTGTGCGTGCGTGCGTGCGCCCAGACAGCGGGCCGTGCTGCCGCCTAGCATCGAGTTGTAGAAAAACGGAGATTTTAAAATTGGGGATGGAAGTTAAAGACTCTATTTGTTTTTGTTTCTTGTTGATTTTTTTTTTTGACCTTTTCTTTTGAATTAAAGATGTCTGTAACTCTGAGATTAAAAGACAAGTTTGTGGCTTTTAATGTTTTTTCCTCCTAGAATGTGATCGTTGAAGAACACGCACCGAAAGTTGCTTTTCAAAAGTACAACGCTTCGTTGACTCTTAATAAATTGCAATTTTTTTCTTGGCTGTTCAAATAAATGTGTTTTTTTTATTTTCCAAAGACAGGTACCATCGATTTCCACTTTGTATGTGCTGGGGGGGGGGGCGGGCCTGCTGCCTCTCTCTCGGAGCCTCAGCCCCGGCTCGGGGAAGGAGGCGGAGCTCCGGAGGCCGTGGCGGGTGATGCTCTCGTTTGTCCCGTGCTTTGCAGTCCGCACTGAGACCGCACTGCTGGCCGTGCAGAGGCGCAGGCCCCCTGGCCGCCCGTGACCCAGTTTGGGCGTCAGAAAGATTTGAGCAGAAGAGAGGAATGGAGGCCTTCTGTGTCTCCTGGACAGTAGTTTGTCATTTTCTCTTGTAAAACAACCTCAAATAAGCCGCGAAGGCTACATTTGACAAAGCACGGTGCCCGGGCCGAGCAGGAGTCCGGGCGCCACCAGGACGCGGTGGCGTGGCGACCAAAAGGCAGACGCTTCGGTTATTGTCCCGGGTCCGCTCCGAGCACCGTGGCCTTAGATCAGTTCCGGGAGCGTCAGCGCTTGTAATGATCAGGGTCGGAAAGCCGATGTCTGGGAGACAAGCCAGCACGTCCGCTGTGACCACGCGCTGAGACTGTCCCCAGTCCCCTTCCACGTCAGGCCGGTGGCCTCCTGGTTCTGCCTCGCCTCAGGGAAGCTGCAGAGGACGGCGCTGAAGGGCTCACGGTCCGGAGAAGTGGAAGCCGGGGAGGAAGGGAAGCCGGAAGCGGGGCAAAGCGCGCCGGGCCCTCGTGTCCAGGGTCCCTGCGAGAGGGCAACCTGGCAGCGCCTGCTCCCCGGGGGCAAGGTCGGCGCCCCGAAAACATCCAAGGGGTGCACCAGGCTTCGTGCAGGAGGTGGGAGGCCGGATTGGATTTCGACGGGCTGCGGAAAGCAGGGGGCAGGCGGGGGAGCCCAACGGAAGCCCGGGTCTGGAGCGACCCGGAGCGGGGAGCGGGGGTCCTGGCGCCCACGGTAGAAAAAGAGGCTCGGCGTCTGGAATCGAGGACCGTAGGTGTGGAGCTGCGCCTTTTCGCACGTCCTGGCGACCCCACGGGGGAACGGCGAAGGCAAAAGGCAGGTGCCCGGTGGGTAGCACGAGGCACAGAGAAAGGGCTGTTTGAACAGCCAGGAGGCCCGACGAAGAGGCATCGTGGGGGGGGGGGGGAGTTTTAGGGACCAGGACGAGACGGGAGATGCCGAGGAGCTGAGCACATACAGGCTCGCTGACCAGAGCCACGATGGAGAGCGGCCTTTCGAGACGATTCTTCCCGGTGTGGTAGGCTCAGGTGCATCGGGGGAAACCCACACGGGGCGCGTGACGCGGGTGTGATTCGTCCGCCAGCTTTGTGCGCCGCATCTCGGTGCGAGCGCGGTTGACGAGCCCCACTTGCCTGACGCTGTCTGACCGGGAACCCGAGTGAGCAGCAGGCCCGGCCGGCGCCCCGGTTGTGAGAAACGGAAGCACATTTCCCAACACCCCCTACATGGGTGCTACTCGGGCTTAAGAGACCCGCGTCAGACCCTACACAGAGTACAGAGCAGTGGTCCTCACCTCGGCTGCATTAGAACTCTCTGGAAAATTTTAAACCCCAGTGCCAGGACACCTCCAAGCAAGCAGGATCCCTGGGGGCGGGCCCCAGGCACCCGAGTTACAGTCTCCCGCGTCGGGTCCGCTGAGCAGCCTGAGCCGGGCAGCAGGGGCCTGGAGGGCTCTTGTCATCGGGCTAAAAGCGCCATCAACCTCCCGATCCCCGGAAGGGCAGTTTTCCCCCCACGTTTATTTTTGAGAGAGCGCGAGTGAGGGAGGGGCAGAGAGAGGCGGAGACACAGAATCCAAAGCAGCTCCAGGTTCTGAGCCATCGGCACAGAGCCCGACGTGGGGCTCGAACTCACAAACCGCAGGATCAACCTGAGCCGGAGCCAGATGCTCAACCGACCGAGCCCTCTCCCACCGCCGCCCCCGGCGCCTGGGGAAGAGCAGTTTCTAAGCGCTCAGTTGGCCTCATTTTTTAAGTGAAATTCCCCTGCCAAGCGTGGTGCTGAGCACCGTGTAGGAGCCATGTTCTCTGCTCCAGCAGCCCCCGTGGTGAGGGACCCCGCTGCGCGAGGTCACGGAACAGGCCCGAGGCTTTGCGCTCAGAAGGGCCACAATCCAGGCCCGTCTGATACCCCAGCCCTTGCTCGGGCCCGACCCCCCGCGGGCTCCATCGCAGGAGGAACGTGGCCGGGTGCACAGACCGGAGGATCTCGGGGCCACATGCGTGTCCGAAACGGCCACGACGGGGCAGATGTCCGGGAGGAGCGGGGCTGCCAGGCCGGCGGGCTGCAGCCCCGGGCAGGAGTCGCTGCTGCGGTCTGGGGGACAGAACTTCTTCAGGAAACCTGTGTTTTGCTATTAAGGTCTTTCAACAGATCGGATAAGGGCCGCACACGTTACTGGGGACCATCTCCCTAAAGCCAACCGGCTGGACGCGCTAAGCACACCCGCTCCACGCCTCGACGGCAGCGCCCGAGCCACGTGACCCGCAGAGCCGCCACCCGCCGGTTCTCCTGGGCGGGCCCCTCGCTTGTCCGAGGCCGCCGGTCCTGGCCTCACAGGGGCCTCGAGGCAGGGCAGGCTGGGAGGGCATCTGGGCCCGTTCGCAGGGAGGTGTCGGGAAGGGCTGTCCCAGAGAGCCCGTGGCCAGCCTCCCCGCCATCCGGATGCCCACCCCTCTTCACCCCAAGGCGCTCGTGCCCAGGACGGGCTCCCACCACCTGCAGGGATCCCCACGCACCGTGTCGGCACCGGCGGTGACAAGCCGGCAATCGAGCCGTCGGGGCGCCAAGGGCGCCGCCCCCCACCTACAGAGACGGCAGGTGAGCCTCGGGGGCCACATCAGCAGGCGCCTGCCCTGCACGTCTGCCGAACAGGAATGCCCACCGCCACCCCCCAGCCCCCACCCTCCACCGTGAGACCCTCCTCGGAAAGGGGACAGTCCAGGTGAGTGTGGGCCCGGCTGGGGCACTGCTGGCGGTGGGGTCCCCACTGTGGGTTTGACCTGGCGCTCCCCGAGCTGCGCTCTTCTGGATTCCCCTGTGGGACGACGAGCAGTGGGGGCCGCCCCCCACCCCCAGTTCCGGCAGACCTGGGACACGGGGGCTGTGACAGCCTCTCCCCACCTTCCCTTACTCTCGGGTTCATGGCATCCCAAGGATCCTCAGGCAGCCTGGCGGGACCTGGGGTCACCCCCTCCTGCCCCGGGCCTGGGAGCTGGCGCCCCTCTGCCTGGCAGGCTCCTCTCCCCATGGCTCACTTGTAACTGAGATGCCAAACCCGCCCAGCCTCTTCCTAAATTTCCCCCCCACGCCCCCAGCCCTGTAACCACTGGGTATCACCACTGATGGCTCTGTCGCCCTAGACGCCCCCCCCCCCGCCCCCCGGAATTGCTCCTTGCCTGCCGCCCGCACCGAGCCCTCTGGCACAGGGGCTGCTCGGGGCCACCTGTCAAGCCATCTGGGGCTCTGCCAGCAGAGGGCGCCCCGTGCTTAGCGCCAGACACCCCCACCCACCCCCGCAGAGGGAGGGAAGAGAAGCCTCCAGCCCGAAAGAGGAAATAAAGGGGCCCCTGGTTCCCACGCCCTCCACGCCAGGGGAGGAGCCAGAGCGCAGCGGTGCTTGCGGGCACCCAGCGGGCTCGGCTAGGAGCACAGACTCCCAAGAGAGGCCCGTCTTGCAAAACATGTTTTATCAGAATAAATAGAGTCCTGAGCAGGACCTCGCCCCCTGGAGGGGCTCCAGCTCCAGCCTCCATGGGCTGCGGGGGCCCGTCACCCTCCCCGTGGCCCAGTGGGGTCGTCCGGTGCGTGCACAGTCCCAGGTTGGCGTCTCTGCCTGCGGGGCCGCCAGGCCGGTCACTGTCCTAGGAGGCGTCCAGATCGTCCTCGAGCCTCTCGGCCTCCTGAGTTCTGCCAACCCTGCCAGAAGGGGGAGTCAGCAAGGGGCCCCTGTGACCTGGGGGCAGCATGTCACCCACGCTCAGCAGGAGGCTGAGTCGTCCCTCCAGCCGGGCTGAAGCCAGACCCCAGCAGCCCTCGTCAGGGGCTGCAGTCAGGCGCCCCGCCCAAGGGTAAGGAAGCCTCTGGAAGGCCCGAAAGGGGCTGGACAGACCTCCAGTGTGTCTAGGCCGGGCGGGAGTGTCAGACGGCTCAGCCTATGGGTTCCTGCTGCCCAGGATGAGCCCAGGGGCCTGGGTTGCACTGCCCATCCTCCCCCCAGCCCCGCAGCCTGCCCACCCTGGCCCGAGGCGGGAGTACATCCCGGCGTCTGTCTGTCTGTCCAGGCAGCAGGGAGCTGTGTGGGCTTGTCCACCCGCAAGAGAGGAGCAGAGAGAAGGGGGGCCGCAGCAAGCCGCTCCACCCCGCCCATGGCGCGCACCACCTGGAGACTAAGGGGCCAGCCCTTGGGCACCCCAACTTAGAAAAAGGCATGGCAGAGAGCTCGGGAGGGCAAGGGCCGTAGAGCCCCGCCCGACCCCACCCCTGCACGCCCTTCTTTCTTCTCTGCTTTCCTCTGCCCACCAGACTTCACCACGCCCGGGCAGGAAAGGTTGGAAGGAGGGCAGCCGGGGAGGCCAGCACCCCCTCCGTCCTCGCCCCAGCTCTGCACCGAGCGCCCCGACCCCTCCACGGCCCCTCACCTGCTCCTCTCCTTCCTCTCATAGACAGAGTGAAGCTTGTTGATCAAGAAGACTTTGTCTTCCCCTTCCTAGAGAGGCCAGAACACAAAGAGAACAGACGTTGTTCCCCCGTCTGTCTGTCCAGAACGGTCCTTAGGGAGCTCACAAGGACTATTCGACAGGTCAAGCACCAAAGGTTTAAGGGGGGAAAGAGGCACCAAATTAGGATGGAAAACACAATAGCCAGGCAACAGGCGTACATATAGATCTAAGCTTCCTAGTGGCCAAGGTGAAAAAGGAAATGTGATCAGGGGCACAGTGCAGGCCACAGAGCCGGCCTGACTCAATTTATAACCGGTCCTGCCACTTATTAACTCTGCACTGGGCCACTTACCTCCTCTCTGACCTCAGAGCCCCGTCTGCACCAGGGAGATAAGAACGTCTGCCTCATGAGGCCTGTGTCACTTTCTGCTGTTGCTCTGACCAATTACCACAGATTAGCAGCTTAAAACAACACAAATGCATTCTTCCATCTTGGGGATCAGAAGTCCAAAATGGGTCTCACTGGGCGTAGGATCACGGTGTCGACCAAACCGATTCCTTCTGGAGACCATCTTTGCTTCCTTTCTGCAGCTTCTGGAATCTGCCCACAGCCCGTGGCTCAGGGCTCCTTCTGCCCGAATTGGTGCGTATGGAGGGCTGTGCGCTTGAGGAAGCCAGCCAGCGCCCGGGCCGGGAAAGGCCACTCCAGGAGCCAGCTGAGCTCAGACCCGCAGCCCCCGGCGCGCCGCAGACCTGGGGCAGGGCTTGGCCTTGGGCGGCCGCGGTCTGCAGCCAGGGCCGCCTGGAGAGCGAGGTGGAGCTGTGCGCCCACCTGCCCACGTGAACGCCGGGCCCCGGGCACGGCTGGCCCCGAAGTGGCCCGAGCATTCGGTGCACGAGTGAAAAACCCCAGAAGGGAAATGGGCCCCGGGAGGGCAGGTCCCGCTGAGCACCCAGCCCCGCCCCATGCAAGGCACCTTCCCCAGCTGGGAAAAGCCACCCAGATGTCAGTCACGTGCCTTTTACATGACAGGAGGCCCGGTAACCCAGCAGGGCAAAGGCCACGCTCAGGCCGGGGGGCCCGGTCAGCAGGGCAGGGCAGGGCCGGGCGACGGGCAGAGCCGGGCCCGACCTCCGTGCGGTGGGGGTCCCAGGAGGGAGCCGCGCCCTGGGCTTCCAGCCCACCCTGCCTCTCACACGTCCACGACAAACTGCAACAAGCTTCATAAAAATGTCTTAAATGCCGACCCGCTTTCAACCTTACTCCGCTTGTTTGAAACGAAGGCACTGAGCAGGGTCCGTGCCCGGACACGGGCCCCCTAGGAAGTCCAGCAGTGACCCCCACAGAGACTGTCTGCCTCCCCGCAGGGCCACACGCCCCGCCCCCAGGGGTCTCCGCCACCCGCTGCGCTGCCCCCTCCCTCCTCGCCTCCCTCCCCACCTCCGCTTACTACAAACCACACACGGTAACCCGAGTCCTGTGTATGGCAAACAGACCCCCTCAGCAGCCCGGGCGGGGGTGCGGCTCAGCGAGCAGGGGGGCCCGCAGGGTGGGGGTGGGAGGGGCACTCACATTGCTGATCTGCTCCCGGAGGAGGCAGATGACCTTCCGCTGGCCCTTCACCACCTGGATGTTGAGGTAGATCACGGCCCTGCAGGAGATGGGGAGTCAATGGTGGGGGGGGGCGGCCTGGCCAGGAGCCGGGGGCGGACAGGGTGGGCACCCCCCCTCCAGGTCCAGTCCGCCCCCCGACACCCCGCCTGCCCGCACTCACAGCAGCAGGGCCGACACCAGGTAGACGGGGAAGGTGTTTTCCACCAGGTACCGGTGGACCCAGGGCAGCCAGGAGACCCTGGGGCCCGCCGTCTCCAGGCGACGCACCCACACCTTGCCCGCCTCGTACATGGTGTCGAGGGTCCGGAAGGGGCCGCAGGTGCTCGAGGGCTTCACCCTGGAGGAAGACGGCGGCTTGCGCCCCCAGCCAGCCCAGAGGCAACCCCCGCACCACCCCACCCCGCAGCCGCCAGCCGCAGCCCCCCTTGGGCAGCACCTCCCGAGTCCAGGGGCCGCTCCACCCCCCACCCCCCAGGGGGCAGGCGCCCACTCACTGCCACACAGCGTAGCAGAGGAAGACGGCAGCTCCCAGGAAGGAGGGGAAGCAGAGCAGCGAGATGAAGACGGTGCTCATGTGCGAGGCCAGCCACGGCCTGCGGGGCGCCTGGCAGTTGGCCATCAGGCTGGTCTGAGGACAAAGGCTGGGCTCTACCACTGCCCTGCCTCCCGGCTCCCCTCCCCCAGGCCTGGCAGGGGGCCTCGGGGCGGGGGGGGGGGGCAGTGCTCCCGGGAGGGACCCTGGGACACGACGGGCTCCCTTCCCCCCGGGAAGCGGACTCTCAGAATGTGAGCGGGTGGGGTGGAAAGAGCCAGCAAGGCCAGCGCCCTGCTTTACAGAGGGGAGACCGAGGCACAGGAGGGGCGGCCCGTCCACCGCCACTCGTGTGCGGCAGCGTCCGTAGAAACAGCCACCTCGCTGGCTGAGGGTCTCTGCCGGGCTGGCCCTGTGCCCTGCGCTCTGCGAACGTCCCCTCCAGCAGCGCACTGGCCCATCGCCCAGATGAGGAAACAGAGGGCCAGGGAGAGCCTGGTTCTCGGCCCCCGCCCGCTTCCGTCGGCCCCGACGCGACGCCGCCCGGCCCGTGGGAAGCGGTGATGCGGGGGACGGGCCAGTGGGCCGTGGGACTGACCCCAGAGGGGGCCCTTCCAGGCCCAGGGCCCTCGGGCGGAGGGGAGGGTTCCACGGCCCCAGGCCCCGTGTCACCAGCACGGTGGCCTGCCCTGACTGCACGCTCACCGGAGGCCCTGACACCCTCCCGGGGCCCGGCTGGCGCCGTTACCTTCTTGACGTAGAAGAGGAGCAACAGCTTGATGATCTGGATGGCGGGGAGGAGGGGGGCGAAGAGGACCCCCAGCCTGGGGAGGCAGGGGCGGGGCTGCAGTCCAGAGGCCGGGTCATGGCCCCCCAGGCTGCACCCCAGGGCTACCGCGGCCCGGCACAGGGTCAGACCAAGGCCCCCCCAGGCCCTCCCTGCCGCACCCCAAGGCCAGCTGGGTTCAGGACCCCGGGAAGTGAGGGGTCAGGGCCCACGTCGGTCCAGAGTCCCAAGGGGGGCGGGGCCTGCTGTAGTCCCGAGTGGGAAGGAGGCTCAGCCCTGCCCGGGGTGCCAGGCAGTGACAGGCAAGCGGGGGATGCTCACCAGGTCAGGGTCTGCCCATAAATCAGCTCCAGAACGTTCCCGGCAATGTCGAACTCCGGCTTCTCCCTCCTCTTAAGCCTCCTCTCAGAGATGAGCCTGGGGCAGAGGAGCCCCTGAGGGTCACTCAGGAGGGCCAGTCCCAGGGACCGCGCCCAGCAGGCCGGTGACCCTCCCTGCCTATGCCAAGCTGACGTCCCTGCCCGGCCCCCTCAGGTGCCCAGCTGATGTCAGGGGACCTAGCAGGCTGAGGTCCCGACCTGAGGGGCTCCGGGCCACAGCTGACTTCTCCCCGTCTTTTTCTTTCTTTCTTCTTTTTTTTTTTTTTTAAGTAATCTCCACACTCAACTTGGGGCTTGAACTCACGACCCGGACCCAGAGACCAAGAGCTGCACATTCCGCTGCTGAGCCAGCCCCGGGCACCACCCCTCTCCCCCTGCCTCTCACTCTTTTTTCTACACCCAGGCCTCAAACGTCTGACTGACTGTTAAACATCCCTTTTTATTTTTTTTTTTAAATGTTTTATTTATTTCTAGGAGAGAGAGAGAGAGACAGCGTGAGCAGGGGAGGGTCAGAGAGAGAGGGAGTCACAGACTGAAACAGGCTCCAGGCTCTGAGCTGGCAGCACAGAGCCCGATGCGGGGCTCGAACCCACGAACCGCGAGATCATGACCTGAGCGAAAGTCGGACGCTTAACCGACTAAGCCACCCAGGCGCCCCATAAACATCCCTTTTTAAAAACACTATTAAATTCATACGTTCCCGGAAAAAAACACAAACAGAATAAAAACACTCGCGATGTCGGCACTCAGTGACACGTCCTGAAAAAGTCCCTTTCCTGTCTTTCTTCCTTCCCTTTTTCCCCCTTTGCACAAGACTGAGATTATACATCATTTTGAAAACTCTTCCCCCTCGATCTAAAATAAAGGGGGGGGAGTGTATCCTGCCCGGGATTTTTCTCAGCTCGATGAGGTACAGACGAGGCATCGAGGGTGCCGATCGATGGCCCCGATCCGGGAGGGGAGGCCCCACTTTCCCAGGTGACCCCTGCCTGCCTTGCCGGGGAGGACGCTCTGAACCCTTGGGCAGGGGGGAGGGAGGGGGCAGGTGCCCAGGAGGCAGGTGCAGGGCCAGGGGCCTCACCTCCACACCAGCTCCCCGAAAAGCGTGTCCAGCAGCACGAAGATGAAATCCAGCACCATGAGCCGGTACAGCTCCTGGCCCACAAAGTTCTCCCAGCACTGGGGGGGATCCGGCCTCAGCTCCCGGTGCCCCCAGTGCCCTGCACCCCGCCTGTCCCAGCAGCCCGGCCAGAGACGCCACATGGCGGCCACCCCAGCACCCCCACCCCCAGCAGCAGCAGGGCCGCCCCTTGCTGTGACCGGCCAGGGGCCTCGGCCTCCCCCTCACCTGGTCCCTCAGGGTGCCCACCCTGCGGCCCAGCCAGTGGTAGCAAAGAACCCCCAGAATGACCATCTTGAGGATGAGGTTCCTGGAGAGGACGGGGGGGGGGGGGGGCTGAGGGAGGGCTGCCCGGGGGCCAGAGGTCATGCCCCAGGAAGCCTCTGCCCGCCCCGCCTGCACACGCACCTGCAGACGGCCACGTACACCTCCAGCACCGGGGAGTCATGATGCTCCAGGGCGGCCAGGCAGCGGTACAGGTAGGGGGCCCCCAGGTTGAGGAGGCAGACCACCAGCGGCAGGGCCAGCAGCGCCCCCTCTCGGTCAGCAGACACGGGGGTCTGCAGGAGGAGGGGGTGGCGGTGACGTCAGGTGCGCCGGCTGGTGGAAGGAGGGGCCAAACTGCCCAGCGGCACCTCCCTCCCCGCCACGGTACGCCCACCCCAGTGCCCAAGTTCAACCCACACAGGAAGGGGGTGGGGACACAGGTGTCGGAAAAAAGAGAAACCGAAAAGAGGAAAATAAAAGATCAAAAGACGGGGGGACGCGCAGGGGGAGAGGGCGCAGGGGCCCCATCCCTCGTCAGGCAGGGGTCGGAGCCCGGGCCCAGCGCTCCCTGCTCGCACCTGGATCATGAGCTCCGAGAAGGCGTACACGGCGACGGTGCAGCCCAGCGTGGTCGCCAGGCACAGCAGCCACACGAGCCCCAGCGCGGCCACCTGCCGCAGCCGCCCGCACGCGCTCCGGGGGCCCTGCCGCAGCTGCCACTCGGCCAGCAGCTCCTGGGGGCGGCAGCGACCCGTCACGAAGCCCGCGGCAGACACGCACACAGGGACCGAGGGGTGGCCTCCCTCCCGCCCCCCATGCCACCTCCTGTCCCCCCTCGCAGTTCCGGGGCCCTGTCTCCAGGTGGGCCCTGCCCGCCGGGGCTGGTCGCCCCAGCTCATGCTGCGTCCTGAGACCTGCCCCCACCTCCCACCCTCCCCAGCCCCGCCTCCCGAGCCACCCGGTCACCTGCCCTAGACAGGGGTGGCCCCAGCTGACCAGGCGCCCTGAGGAGTGCAGGGCACCGGGCCACCCGCGGGACCTTCCTGAGGCACAAAGGCCCCCCAGCCAGGTCAAAGCAGGGGGATCCCCTGACGCAAACCCCACACGGCCCAGCTCGGCCGTGAAGCGGGGGCCACACCTCTGCTCCGGGCTTGCTCACGGCCAGCACAGGAAGAGAACGGGCCTTGCTCGCCCTGGGCTACTGTGGCGAGCCGGGATTGCGGCGGCCGGAGCCCCGGGGCCTCTTCCCCAGTAACAACCCACCCCGAGCACGCACACCCACCAAAACCCGCTGTGAGCAGAATGTTCCAGCAACGTGGGCGCCCGCACACTCGAGGACCGGGGGCACCAGCCCCTGCCAGCAAACAGCCCCCAAAGAGAGGCGTGTACGGGAGAAAAATCCAGGACGATTCCCAGGGCCACGGGGTGTCTGGAGCCCACCGTGAGCAGGGCCAAGACCCCGCCCCTGCCCGAGGCACCAGGGGACACAGGTGGGACCCACTTTGCAGGGGTGGGGGGGAGGGGCGAGGCGGCGGCCCCAGGGCCGGCGCGGCTCACCTTCAGATGGGTTCGGATGTGGTCATGCTGGAGACGGGAGGCCCGCTTCTGCGTCACCTTGTGGTCCCAGGAGCAGAACACGGTGACGGCATGGACCCCCGAGGTGCTGCCCACGCGGTAGCTCTCCCCAAAGGAGTGGGACATGCTGGGATGGGCAGAGCCAGGCGGGGAGGTGGGGGGGCAGAGGGCGGGGAGAAGGCAGTCTGGTCACTCCCTGAGGCCAAAACTCAGCCCCCACTCGGCGGAGCCCTCCCAGCGCTAGCTCGGCCTCCCGCCTCACCCCTCCTCCAGCCCTGCGTTCTGGGCACCCTGCTGCAGACCACTGGCCCCCAGATCAAGCCTGTCTCAGACGGTGCCCGGCAGCCAGGCCCGGCTAGGCGAGGGCCGGGGCCCCAGGACCCACGATCCTGCCTCCTGGCGGCTGCGGACCGTGCTGGCTCGCCTCAGGGCTTCTCACCGCCTGTGCGGGAACCTAAACACCCTCACTCTGCCTCTCCCTGCCCGCTCCTGACACCCCCTCCCCGGAAGCCAGCCCGACTCCTTCTCCAGTGCTCCACGACAGCTCGGCAAACACCTCTAAGCCTTGGTCTTCCAGCCTCCTCACTGCTCTGCCTCCTCCCCCAGAGAGCAAGTCCTCAAGGACACGCAGCTGCTGTCACCTTCCTGCCCCGAGCTGGATGGCCAGGGCTTGTGGGGGAGGCGGGGGGGGGGGCGTGGGAGGAGGGAAGGAGGAAAGTAGGGAGGGAGCGGGAGGGGGAAGGGAGGGAGGGATAGAGGGGGAGGGAGGGAGGGAGGG